GAACAAATTTATGAGCCAATGACACAGAACAAATTTAGAGCCAATGGCAACAGTTGAATTGAATTGGATTGAATCTTATTTGAAAAAAAAAAAAATTATATTTATCAAACAATTTCTGAAATTGAATTGCAATCAGTCTGAAAATGTAAAAGCTGTCAACTAAAAGTAAAGCTGTAAATGATTATATTATATAGTTTAATTCTAAAAAGTAAATAGATGTGACTTTGACTTGTTATAGTTATTACTGTAATCACTGATAATCATATTTGTAATTATAGAAAACTCTTGTAATTTATAATATAACTGCCATTAAAAATTCTGTTATATTAGTTGTAAGAATATTTTATTGAGAAAAGAAATGAAATGTTAAAACTTTTATTTTTAAATTTTAAATGTTAATAATAGATTACTTGCATTCTTTCAAATGAATGTATAGAACTGTTTATTAATTAAACAAAATAGAATATTCTTTCAACATAAGATAATTCAAACCAGAATGTGTTTTGAATTATCTAATTAAAAAAATTATTCAAAATTTATATTAATTAATAAGAAATGAGTAAGCTTGTAGGACATTGATTTTCTAGAAATCAGCAATCACCCATTTTTCTTAAATCTTGTTACAGACACAACACTGTTATAAAAAGGTTTTGTGGATTGTTATTACTCAATGCAGTGTTAAGATTAGAAGTCGTTTTGTGTTAAAATTTTTACTGCAAAATAATCTAGATAATATTTTTTTATCTATCTATATTTAAGTATCTATTTTTGAAAGATTCCTAACTTTCAAAAATTTGACTTAATTGACTTAGGATTTATATTTACTCAACTTAGAAATTAAATATAATTTTTGTAATTGCATAAAATTTAAGTTTACAATTAAATAGTATTATGATTAATAAAAGAATATTTTAAATGAAAAAAATGATTTGATATAAAATGATAAATACAATTTGTTTTTCACTTCTTTTTCACCAAATTTAAATTAAATGAATCCTAACACCAGTGGTAGGAATTATTGTTCCTTTATTATCTAGGTCTTAATCAATGATTCCTAGATCCAAGTCATCTTGATTTTATTAATTCATTAGATATGATAAAGTCAAAAACAGTTTGATTTAAAATATTTTTCCCTTTAAAATATCCCACTAGCATTTTATTAACATTTCATCCATTGCTGTTGCTTCATTTTGTTTTCTGTGTACTGAAATGGAAACCTTTCAACATTTTCATTTCTTCACTGTATATCATTCTTGTCTCTTTCTGGGAATCAATATTGTCATCTCTGTCTCTGTTTTCCCCTTTCTTTCTTTCTTTTTAGTTCAGTTTACATCTTCTGTTATGTTTGTAATGTGTCTGTTGATAACCAGTTATGTATATTCTTGTTTTTCATGTTTTCATAGTCAATATTTTTTGCAATAAAAGAAGTTTTCTTGTAGTTTCTTTTAATCATTATCTCAATTGTGATATTGAATTTTAGATAACTGATATTGTATTGAATTTGATATAAATTTTTATTTGAATATATTTTAGTGGACAAATTGTTATTAAAGTTTTGTTGGAATAACAGCTACTATTCTGATAGAATAAGGTGTATTTCTAAATTTGTAATAAGTGTGAATGACTGTAAGGAAATATTCCTAAAGTTATCAAGTATCATCTTACGATAGTTTAAACATTAAAGTTGTTGCTTATTATTTTTAATTAATTAAATTCAATGACAGATTATTAACTTTTTGAATTTATCTCAAGTTAAAATATTTTTGAATATATATAAATAGACTTTAGATTACATGTTTTATTTAATAAATATTGTATGTTAACTCTGTTTATTGTAAAGAAATAAAATGATAATAAAACAATAATTTATTTTATTACATTTATACAGCATTAGCTAGTATAAATGAAATGCAAGTTTTGTTTTTTAAAAAATACTGAATGGTAGTTTACTATTTACTTATGCTGATTTGTAAAAAAGTAACAAAATTTGTATTTATATTCTGTTGTTTATGTTTCAACTTATTAAAAGGGGGAAAAAATGGTGTCAGTAACCTTTATACTAAATGTTTTTAACTGATAACCTTCTTCAGAATTTTAAGTTTATAAATATCTCTAGATTAAAACTCAAAATTGTAGAATAAATAAATGAATTATAACTATAAATCCCAATATAATTTTTACTATATTTCTCTTAAATAAATATATATGTATATAAAATTTTATTAAACTAAATTATTATTTTGAATCTTTTCTTAAATTCAAATTATAAAATCAAAAAGTAATTTTAATGTTATGCACATTTTTATTAGGAATTTTATGTTATAGTGTTTTAATTCTTATGAGAACCAAACTCCAACTTAAATCATCCCATTTATATATATCATTATCAATATTTTTACATTTATCTAAAAGTAAAAGCAATTAAATATATACAATAGCTACATAAAAAGCTAATTGAAAGTAATTGTAGGCTTTAAGATTTCAGATTTCCTATTGTTTCTATAAATATATATATATATGGATACTTTATTAAATAACTATAAATATCTGGCCATTTTTATCTTAAGCCATATATTATAGATTCATTTTTTCATACATCCTATAGAATGGCATAAACAGTCATTTAAACTATAGATTTGATGTTTTTTAAATATCGTTTTTTATGTTAATCCAATAATTTATCAATATATTTGTTCATTGTAAGTGGAAAAGAAATCTAACCTAACTTTTCAGCATTTTTTCAATAAAGTACAGTAGCTTTATTTTCATCTTATATCTGGGTACCTTAAGCCTTGACATCATTGAAACGTCTGAGAAGGTGGAACAATATATAATAAAATAACTTGCACTTCTCACTCTTTTCCAGCAGACAGTTCTAAGAGAACCAAACTAAACTAAACTTTATGTTCTTTTACCTGAAGAGGGCCATAAAAGTAGCTGAAAACATTAGTTTTCATAGAAACTGCCTATTGGAAGAGTGAGAAATATAAGTTATTTTACTTGACATCATTGTTGGTCCTATACATAGGCTGCACATTAAGCCTAGTAATTATTTTTAGTATCTACATCTTAAAATATGAAGCATAAGAGTTTGTTTTGTCTGTTCTCAGAACTGATTTTACATCCATTTCATTCTAAATTGTATAAAATGCATAGTATGAATATGATAAAAATATTCATTTCAAAAAATGTCATCCATTTAATCATGCATATGAATTTAAATATTAAAAAAGTCATATTTTTGTTTTAATTGTGGCACAAGATTCATTCATTATACTTTTTTAGTTAAAAATTTTTTTTTTTTTTTTTTTTTAACAAAAGTTCAGAATCTTCCAATAAATTTAAATCCAAAATGCTTACTTGATGTGAATACAAATATAAAATGAACTTTTCTTCGTTAATTAACAAAATAATTAGAATATATGAAGACTACTGATTAAGGAAATAATTGCTAATATTAAAAATTTGTTTCATTTATTATGTCATTTTGAATTTGTTTGATTTACTAAATATAAACTCAGTACACAAAGCATAACACAAAGCAGACGTCCTACATATAAACTCAGTATTTATTGAATATAAATTATTGAATTCAATTCTGAGCATTGAGATAGATTATGTATTAAAATTATTTCAACTTAAGAATTTTGATGTTAGAATCGTTTTATGTTTCTTAAAAATGTAGATATTTTAAATTGAAACAAAGAAATATTAAGATATTTCTAAATATTTCATAAAATTTTTAAATTATATCTTTAAAGAATTTTGCATAGGAATTTATTAACATCAATAGTTTTTAGTTTGTAATTTTAATGTTAGCAACTGTTAATCATAAATCTATTTACAGAAATATATATGTATATATTAGTTTAATACAGGGGTGTCCAACCCACGGCCCGCAGGCCGCATGCGGCTCAAGGCAAGTTCCAATGTGGCCCAATAAAGGTGTAAACAAAACCGACAAATGTTTTAATTTTTTATTATTTATTTATTTCAACGGCATAAACTCAGAAAAGAAGTTTCACAAAGCCATAAACCTTTATTCATATTTTAGTTTTGAGCGGAAATGAAATATTTTCATACACTTGGAGATGTGTGAATGAGGAAGGATTACTAAATAAAGCTAGAGTTGTGACTCAAAGGATTATAGACCCAAATTTGGTGAAAGGAGAGAAAGGACAAAAGCTAAAAAGTTGTCAGAAAGGTTAAATAGTTCTTCTGTTAGGTAAATATTGAGTCTTAATTTTCCAACCTTTCTCACTTCTTTATCTTTTGTCCTTTCTGTTCTTTTTCCGAATGTGGCTCTATAATCCTTTGAGTCAAAACTCCAGCTTTATTTAGTATTCCTTCCAGCGTTGCAAGATTTGGCTACATTGCGCCAAATGTGGCTACTTTTTTAGTTTAACGTAAAAAAATATCATTTGGCGCTTTGGCTACTTTTGGGGCTACATATCATTTATAAATATATTAGTCGAATAAAAATGCACTTTAAAATGGTGTTTCGTCGCTTTTTATTAATCAGAGACTCAAATAAAGCAAATATTTGCGTTTTATCAAATAAATGAATTTATCTATTTCTAAGTAAAAATTGAAAGTGTCTGTAGAAGTAATTTTTTAAAATATCCTATTTCGTGATAAAGTTTTAATACTTATTATAATAATCTAGACATGTTAATCCTTAAATATACTTGTATATTGAACCACAAGTATATATTATATATACTTGTGGCCCAAAACTCCTTAACTTCTTTCAATGCGGCCCAGAGAAACAAAAAGGTTGGACACCCCTGGTTTAATACGTATGATTGTTATTTTAACAATAATTTATTTTGAAAATAAAATCATTGTTTTTCTTTTCATTTTATCTTCATTTGCTGTTTTCTTGGATGCATCTACAGAGTAAGTTCATTAAACTTATATTTTCTTTTTCTATAATAGCTGTAAAATAAAAATTTTTAATTTATTTAATATAATCTATTTTTTGTTTTTTGAAATTTAGATTAATCGGATTAGCTTTTTCTGGTTCTATTGGTATGACTTTAGTTGTTTTGGGATGCGCACTCCCTAAATATGAGTAAGTATAAATATAGAAATTAGGTAACTGTTTATTAGTCTTAACAGATTAATAATTTTAAAATATCTTTTAATTAAATTTGAAGTTTTTTTAGTAACACGCTTGAATCAGACAATTTTTGAAAAATATTTTAACAAACTCATTTACATTGCTTAAGACAACTAATAAAATATTGATGAGTTAGCATTGAAATGTTAGAAAAGTTATATTGTACTGTAGTTATAAGATATATAATCTTATTATTATTGTAATGATGATAGTGATAACTTTAAAAAAGTTTTTACATAAAATAAAGTACATTTTTTATATTTAATAAATTTAATTGCACTACAATGGAAACACAATACACATATTATAGTAAAATCTTTTATTTATTATGATTCAAATATAGAAAGAAAAATTGATTTTCTTAATGGAGTATGAATTGATGGTAAATGGTTATTAATTGGTAAGATAATTGAAGTAAATCACATTTTCTTAGAAATGGATTGTATTTATTTATGATCCTGCCTGTTTTTGATTACATTGTTATAAATTGTTCTAAAAATGAATATATATATTGCATTATTTATCATTGATACAAAGTAGAGTTGACATTTTCAGATACCAATAATTGTCCAATCAATCTATCATATACTCACTTCTATTTATACTCTACATTTGCTAATATATGAAAGTCTGAAACCTCATTGATTTAGAGAATATTTACTTTGTTTGCTAAACATTTAAATTCAAATATAAAGAAATAAACATTTACAAATTGATTTACAGGAACCTTTTAGATCAGGACATAGGCAATTGTAATTGTCTAGTTTATCTAAGCTTGACATCAGCCTTGTTTTTAGGAAAAAATTTAGGCATACCTAGAATAAATTTATAATATTATAGAAAAATTTCCAGGTAGAAAAAATCATTGCCATCAACATTGCTTGTATATTGCACATTCATTGCTACGCACCCCCTATTAAGTTGGCACCCTCCAAAGGTGATGACACCCATATATGATATGGTCATTGCAGACAAATCGTATGGTGAGGATGCTCTGTCTATCCTGGCTTGGTTTAATAGACATATTTGTTAACTGTAGTGATAAGTATAGTGAGAGATCCAACAATTATTAATGATTGGTAACCATTACTTTTTAATCACAGTGATTTTTCTTAGTGATCATGTTGTAGTTTTATAGCTACATAGCCAATCAGATTTAAAGTTTCATCTATGGCCTGTGATCTATATTCTGTCAATCAATCAAGTCTATGGTCATTAAGAGGGAAGCTGTGGATGTTTCCCCAGGCCCAGAGAAAATTTAGTAAAAATACTATTAACTTCACAGGATTTAGAGTTTACTAAGAAACAAAAGGAGCCTGCTCTACCATTGGGTCTCAAACTCTTGATATACCTGTTTGTGTAATTATGTAAATTTTTGTAACTATAAGTGATATTTTTATGGTCAGTTCTTCAGCATAGTTACAGAAATCACCATCAGAATTAATTGTTACTGGAAAATAATTTAAGGCTTTTGAGTGAAGCTCAATATTTGACAATGAAGCATAACAGTAAACTCTACAAAATAAAATACTTGTAAGCATTAAAATTTAGCCAAAGTTAAACACATTGCTTAATTAGCTGAAAAATTCTAATATATGTTGCTTATTCAGTCAACTATTGGTTTGTTTTTCTTATGTATGTTATGGACTAAATCAGTGTTTCTTAACAGGGGGCCCATAAGAAGTTTGCTGGGGGCTGCCAAATTATGCAAAATTGAGGCTATGAAAATGAAATTACAAAGATGGATCCAAAGAATAGATTCAAATATATATGAAATGTTTTCATTCTATTCACAATTAATCACTGATTCAAAATTTCAGTTTGAGAAACAAAATGTAAATTCCTTATTTAAATGTCNCAAATTTAGCAAAATTGAGGCTATGAAAATGAAATTACAAAGATGGATCCAAAGAATAGATTCAAATATATATGAAATGTTTTCATTCTATTCACAATTAATCACTGATTCAAAATTTCAGTTTGAGAAACAAAATGTAAATTCCTTATTTAAATGTCACCTTTTAAAATTAATTGATAAATTTGATAAATATTTTTCTAATGATGAAGTTCACATTACAAAACTGTGGATTCAAGATCTATACAACAATTATAAAAATACCAATTTATCATCAGCTGTTGAAGATACATTATTTGAATTAATAAATAATTGTAATTTGAGATCTGTTTTCTAAACTAAAAGTGTGTCCCAATTTTGGATACAAATTTGTGCAGAATATCCTCCTCTGTTTTCAGCAGCAATGCAAACTTTGCTGCCTTTTGCTAGTACATATTTGTGTGAAAAGGGATTCTCAACTATGGTGGATATAAAAACAAAAAAACGCAATCTATTGCAATTAGATGTCTGTATGCGGATAACATTACAAACAATTGAACAAGAATTAACAAATTAGTTGAGGATATTCAGCAGCAGAAATCTCATTAAATTATTTTTGAATATCTTTTGTGTTTTCTATGAATTTTTAAATGTTTCTTATTTTATTTTTTGTTAAAATTAATGAGTTTTTATGTTTAATTGTGAAGTTTGAATGTTATTTAAATAGATAATGAAATAATAAAGTTATGTTTTACATTTATTACATACTTTTCAATTACTCTGTTTACTATGAAACTATTTTGCAATCCATGTAAACTATGAGATTTTTCATTCTTTTTAATAAAAGTTTAGTAATATTATTGAATATTTACAAAATATTTTGTTTTATATTTGAAATTCAATGTTTTCTTTGAAACATTCTTAAGTAGAAAAGGAAGTAATCGAAAATAAAACAGTGTCTTATGAATAATGAATTGTAAAATTGGTCTAGAACCACGTTTCTATATTGGTGGTCCTTGGAACTCTGTAAGGCTCCACGGTCCATTGTAGTGTGGGGATTTTAGGTGAACAAGAAACGTTGAGAAACACTGGTCTAGAGCAGTGGTGCCAAACTATAGTCTTCATGCTAAATCTGGGCTGTGAATGTATTTAACCTATAAATCAGGGATGGGCAACCTTTTTCCATGCAAGGGCTGCATTTCGAAACTTTTTAACTGACGCGGGCCGCGTATAAGAGAAAAGAGGGGAAAAAAATGTCGGTAAATCACAATTATTTATTTGTGTATAATTATAAATTAGCATAGGTATACAGCTGTCCCTTGATAGTCCGACGTTTTGTAATCCGACATGCTCGGTAGTCCGACGCACCTCCCGTCAAGGTACCCGTCTCCGTTATGTGTCTGTTTGCACAGAAGCATGTTGTGACATGAATCTCCCCACCCAGTTCTTACACAATGACACATTTCATGTGTTTTCTGTNTTTAAACGCGCGTTTAACGCGCGTTGAAAAACGCCTAGTGTGTACAGGGTCTAATATGGGCATTATGAAGTCATTATGAATAATGACAAACAAAATTGGGCACTGTAATAAATTTCATGTTTTTTATCACAATTTATCAGATTGATCAGTCACTATGAATACTGTTATCACCTGGTTGGGCAAAGTGATAATAATATCTTGAGGAGTGATCATGCAATATACACTAGTCAATCAGCACTTGTCATGTGCATATTGCATTTGGTATGAAATTTTAAATTCATGTGACCTGTAGTTAATGTTGTGCATTTTAATTTTACTTTTGCTTCTTAAAATAGTGTTTTCTTCTTTGGAAAACAGTAACAATGATCGCTCTATCATTAAGTGATATGAATAACCACTTCAACAACCAATTAAATGAGTTAATATCAGCAAAAAATCAAAACAGTCAAATTTTTACAAAATCAGTGTATTTGACAATGATACAAAAAGTGAAAGTCAAAAATTAAAGTGACTGAAGTTACCAGAAGAATATCGACATTTTAATAGATTATGATGTTGTATATCGGAGAAATAGAAAAATTAATTATGCCTGTAAAAGAAGGTAATTTAATTAAATATTATGTTCACACTGAAGAAATATTTTAGATATTGCATGATGACCATATTGCTATTGACCATTGTGGCAGAAACCTTCTGGAAAAAGAATTAAATACAAAATATTAAAAAATATTACAAGGGATATGAGATATGATCATAATTTACTTGAACATATGTGAAATTTGTCAGAAAAAATAGGAACATTCTTAATGCTTGGTAGTTAAGCCAATTTTAAGTGATGAAATGAACTTGAGATATCAGGTCAACCTTATAGATATGCAATCACAAGCCGATGAGCAATATAAATTTATACTCATGTAACAAGATCACCTGACTAAATTTGTTCAACTAACACCATTAAAAACCAAAAGTGTTAAAGATGTAGCCTATGTTCCTTTAGACATTCTTACAATTTTCGGTGCACTGAGTATTCTACAGAGTGATAACAGCAGAGAATTCACCAATAATTTCATCAAAGAACTGTGTAGTATGTGGCCTGAGTTAAAACTGGCACAGAAAGCCTACAATTGTTTAAAGTTGGGAAAGAAAATTTACATTTTTGTGACTTTTTTGTCAAGTTTTGATACTTGACAAGTATCCTTCCCTCTTGGGCCAAAAAGAAGAAACTTGCCAAAACAGTTAATGAATATATATTTTACAGCATGCTATGTTCATCACCATTTTTGAATGCATTTTTATATGTTGGAAACATTTCAATATGCTGATATATCATCATCAGTTACATCTCTAATACAAATTATATTATATGCAAATTAACAATCATTATAAGTAAATGAAAAAATTTTCTAAACAATTCTATAAAAAAGTTACATTTTTATTTTGAACCTTTTAATTAAGGTAAGGTATAATATTTTTTGAAATATATTTCACTGTTAATTGTTTTCTGTCATTGTTAATATAGCTGAATTAATCAATGCATCTTTAATTAACTTAACAGTGTGTGAAGTATGATAGCTGGATGGCTGAGTGACTAAAGTGGCAGCCTACCAGGACTAGGATTAAAAGCAGATGGATTGAAAAACCCCAGAAATTTTTGGGGATAGTTGTCCAGATATGTCAAGCACTGTCTCTCACCACCTGACCACATTATGATTATGGCCATAATCATAATGGGCTTGCTAAAAAGGCCTTCTTAATGCCTTTAAGGTGGAAAGAGTTAAAAGTAAAACAAAAAAGTGGATGAAGTTTAATGCAGTTAAAAGTGGAATATACTTTTCACTTTCAACTGTCCATTCCTGAAAATAGCTGATTAACCAGATTGAAAATGTTAACCCATTATAGAGGTTGCAGCCAACGTTTTCAGCCCAAAATGTGAATGTTGGACATCAAGCGCCGCCATCTGGCAATTCTAGATGGTTGATAATAGCATTCACTACATCTAGCATGGTGAGTCAAAGTTCGGCTTAAATTTCTTCCTTTTTTTGTGTTTGGGGTTAAAATTATGACATATTTTATTAAAATAATGATTATTTAAGCATTTATGAATAATAATGCAAAGAAGCAGACAATTTTAATCCAGAAATTATTCAATTATTCAATTTTTTTTGCAAGTGATGTGAAGTGCCTCTAGAATTTACATATATTTCTGTTCATAACAGCTTATAATTCTGTAGGAGTAGGTTTGTTCTTTCACAGCATCTTCTGCCATCAACAGCATAATACGTTTGTAAATTTTCTAAAAATAATTTCCCGTCCGAGTTCAAACGTCAAATGTGTACTTCTGCTTGATACAAGTTTAATATTTGAACTTTGACTGCAACCTCTCTACTGTTACAGAGACATTTATTTCAGCAGAGTTATAATAGTGATTAGTTCATCCTTATAATTAAGAATAATTTTTACTTGTGCTGTTTTGAATTGTAGTCACATTGTTTATTTCAATTATATAATGTTAATTTTAAATATAAACATTAATATTAATTCTTTTTATGTTGATGAAATTATATATTGCAATTGATTTCTAACTGTCAGTTTTGTAATTTCATTACAAAACTGAAATATTTTCAATAATTAGGATAATATACTTTTTAGGAAATTTAGCAATATAATTATATTCGATAAATAAATTATGATATTTATATTGTTTTCAAATTTTACTATAAATTGTCCAATTTTTTTTTCTTAATGTTTTTAGCAACTGGTGGCCATTCTTTGTTGTTCTTTTCTATTGTATGGCACCTATCCCAACTGTTATTTCACGAAGATATCGAGATGATATGGGAACAAGTAGTGCTTGTCAAGAACTAAGTATTTTCATTACAACAGGAATAGTTATTTCTGCTTTTGGATTACCAATTGTTCTAGCAAGAGCACCATTAGATGAGCCTGTGGTAAATTTAAAAACTATTATTTTTAATTATGATTTATCAATGGATTTAATAATTATGTATATTATTTTGTTAATACTTTTTCAGATAGAGTGGGGTGCATGTAGTTTGATCTTATCAGGAAATGTTGTTGTTTTTCTGACCATTCTTGGATTTTTCCTGGCTTTTGACAGTGATGATGTAGATTATAGCATGTGGTGACAGAAGTCATTTCTGATCTCTATGCCACTTTCTGCAATGAATTTCAACCAGTGTCTTTTTGTAATAACATAATGTATTCATACATATTCAAAACATTGTTTTTATCATAATGAGGTTCAGAGGACAAAATTTTTAATACATTATTTGATTTATTTAATTAAATAGAACTTAATCTAAAATTGTTTAATTGATTACTTAAAATACTTAAAAAACTGCTTAATTATAATATTATAAAAAATATTGATATATTATATTAATTTTTAAATGTGATGGATATAACAATTATTATTGTTTTATGTTGTAAAAGTTTTGTGATATGTAGCATGTATTAAATAGTAAATTTTTGTTATGTTGTTTAATGTTTTAGCTTTAAATCTTTTTAAAGCATAATATACTCTTTTTTTACTCTTAATATATNTAAAAACTATTATTTTTAATTATGATTTATCAATGGATTTAATAATTATGTATATTATTTTGTTAATACTTTTTCAGATAGAGTGGGGTGCATGTAGTTTGATCTTATCAGGAAATGTTGTTGTTTTTCTGACCATTCTTGGATTTTTCCTGGCTTTTGACAGTGATGATGTAGATTATAGCATGTGGTGACAGAAGTCATTTCTGATCTCTATGCCACTTTCTGCAATGAATTTCAACCAGTGTCTTTTTGTAATAACATAATGTATTCATACATATTCAAAACATTGTTTTTATCATAATGAGGTTCAGAGGACAAAATTTTTAATACATTATTTGATTTATTTAATTAAATAGAACTTAATCTAAAATTGTTTAATTGATTACTTAAAATACTTAAAAAACTGCTTAATTATAATATTATAAAAAATATTGATATATTATATTAATTTTTAAATGTGATGGATATAACAATTATTATTGTTTTATGTTGTAAAAGTTTTGTGATATGTAGCATGTATTAAATAGTAAATTTTTGTTATGTTGTTTAATGTTTTAGCTTTAAATCTTTTTAAAGCATAATATACTCTTTTTTTACTCTTAATATATTTATAGATAAGTCATTTCGTATATATTTATTTATTAAAATAAAATTTAATTTCATATAGTCACAATTTTACAGTTTATAAACAACTCTAGAATACTTTGTTCATAAAAACAATACGTTTCATTGCAGAATAAGAATCTTTGAAATATTTTCTCTAATTGATATTGAACAGAATGTAAACTATAGAGAATTAGCTTTTTATAATCAATTTACAAATACCTGTACTATATTAACACTATTATTCAAATAACAATACAGATCATGAATATCTCATATACCCCATATGTATATAAATGAAATATATATTTTGTGTCAGAAAAAGCTTTAATGATGATTAACTATCATCATAGTTATATATTTAAAAAATTATGAGTTGTTAATTTACCTATTTCTTCCTTGAATTTAATATATTTAATTATTTTTTAAATGATTACTTATATAATATAGTCTGCATCACATGAAAATATAAATTGCATTTACAAATTCTTAATCAAATATGAAAATTGTTTAATGTGTAAAAAATGAATGATAAAATAAGAAAAAAGTAATATTTCTTTTTAATAATAATAGTTATGCAGACTATATTTACTGGCAATTTCTTAAAATAAAATGTAGTGTTTTATTTAAAAATAATATATTTACTATAGGTTATATTGAATACCATCAGTTCTTAGAAATTTGGATATAATTAAGTTGTAATAAATGAACTAACATTTTTATACAAAATTAAACTTTTTTCATGCTAAAACAAAAATGAAATTGTACAAAATAATAATCCAATTAAATGCAATGTATATATTTAAACTGTAGGAAGAAAAACTTAAATTCATTCTATGATTTAAAATATTTTTTCTTGAAGTATTGCATTTTATTATTTTTTTTTAACTAAATGAAATGATGTATTTCCAACAATCTCTTTTTTTCTACAGTACATATGCTGTAAATTATACTTACTACATATATACATTTTATATATATATATACATTACTGTAAGTAGTATTTAATACTATATGTAGTACAATATAATTTTTATTATTGTTACTTGTATTATTAAATTATATATGTATTTTATAGGTGTGATGTAAAGCTATGGAACTATATAAATATTATGGGTTTTTATTTTACTGTCTTTCATAATAATCTGCAGTTAAAGAGTATACAGCTGTATCAGCTGAAAGTTTTAAACTTGATGTATAGTATAACGTTTTTGCTGTATGTTTCTTACATTTTGAAATTATTCCTTAACATAAAAGGCAGATTGTTATTAAAAGTTTAAAATAATCTGATTAAACTTGAATAGGAGTTATTTAAAAATAAATTTATTATAAAAGTAATTAATGAAGTTTGGAAACATTTTAGTTCATTAGATATTTAATCTTCATATCAAGCATATTTAATTTTTTATAGAAATTATAATTATTTGTTAGAAAAATTGTCATGATTGTAGATAATGTATCTTGATAAACCAATATTAATCATAAAATTGTTGCAATAAAATTAATTATTCAAATAATTGCATTAAAAAAAAAGAATTGTTTTTCTTTAAAATTAGAATTGAAAATTCAACTATAAATATTTATATTATATGTTAGTTCAAATTTTAAGATATTGTGACAGAAAATATCTAAAACGAAATAACTTATATTTAGTCTTAAGAACTCTGATAATGGATGTTTTTAAATGAAATAAGCAATAAAAAAAATTAATTCTTATTAAAAATTTAAGATACTTTTCAAATTTTATTTAAGAAATTAATTATAAAACTTTTGTTTTGAAGTTTACTTTGTAAAAAAATTGTTGAATTATTTACGATTTACTATAACTTTATGATGAAATTTAATATAGTATAGACTTTTCTACAATAAGTTTGAATCATCCTTACTTGCAATTTATACATATTTTTTCATTTCTCATTTATATTATAATATATACATATAAATATATATAACAATTCATAAGCAAATTAAGACAGTAGGTCTAATATATAAATATTTAATTTTTACAAATTTTAAAACTAATATAATTGTTCACGATTATAGTTCATTTTTGTAACTTCAGAAAACATAATTGTTGTACATACGTACAAATCTGTACATAATTGTTTGTTGATTTTTGCTATTTAATATTTATTCGATAGCTAATAGTAGGCGTATAACAATCGTCAAAAGATTGCATTTTTAAAACAATAGTAGACTTTGCAATAATATTGAAAATGGAAAATTTAGAAACGTTGACAAGCAAAATTTCTAAATTTGGTACGATATCGTCTCGTTCGGATACACATACTACAAGTAGTTTAGAAGAAACAAGAATAAGCGAGTTAAGTAACTGTGAAATTACTGATTTAATCGAAACGAAAGTGTCCCGTAATGAATTCTTGACACGAGAAAACATATTGTTGGAAATTCATCTTCATCGCATTGGAAAAGATGATCTGAAAGAAGAACGAAAGTCTATTCGAAAATCTAGACCTTCATCTATTATGTTAAAGAGACGTAACACTTATTTTGATATGAGTCTTCTTAAACCGCCTGATGCTGAAACTAGTAGTTTCCATGATCGCTCTTCCGAAGCACTTGTTATGAAACAAAAATATTACATACTTAAAACTGAAATGAAGTTGAAGAATGATGAAATCAAAAACAGAGCTGAACAACACGAATCTACTTTGTGGGATATTCACATGGAACTTGAAGAACTGGAGGAGAGATATAAAGAAGTAGAAAAAAGAAAACGTTATTTTGAATTTTACATTAAAAACAAAGCTTATAACAAAGCGCTTGCTGTATATAAAGCAGAATTTATCGAACATTTATTCAAACAAATAATAAAAAATCATCTCAATATGTTGCAAAATATCAAAATGAACACAAATATTTGCACTGTGGCACAAAAGAAAATTTTGTTAAAAATCGAATACGTGGATTCTCTGATAGGAGAAAATTACAAAAGGGAAGATGCTGTGAAATTTAAATGCCAAGCTAAACATCAGACATCTATAATCCGAAATCAACAAGAAATACTACAAATATTCAGAAATAAAATGAAAAATGCCAAACATTTATTAGAAAAACTGCGAAATGAAATAGAAGAAATCGAATGTAGACTCGAGATTATTTCAGATACTATCAAATGGAAGACGACTATTAATGAAAGAATATCTGAAAATATTACTCAACAAGAAAAAGAAATTGAAGCTTATCAAAAAGAATATGATTATATAAAGAATATGGTTTCTAGTTATAAACCTATAACTATAATAGACGTCATAAAGCAACAAAAAACTCTGAAAATGACACAAAACCAATTGAAATATTTTAAGAGAAAAACAAATTTACTAGATTTGAAACTTGGAAAATTTGCGTAACATTATATTTAAATAAAATATTCAAAATAATCTGCTGCAACTAGTTAAATAATGTTAAAATATTTTTATTTATTTATATATATTATTATAAGTTTATGTTGCAATGTATTAACATTTATTATATAGTTTTAAACGAAAATCTTCCTATTCTATAGACACAAAGAGGTTTGATTGATTGGTTTGATGGGATATCATAATGCAACACACGAGCAATCTGACAAGGGGAGATACCCTCCAGAAGGACTTTTATGAGAAACTATCCTGTATTTAGAAGTTAAATTCGGAAAGCCATGTAGGCAGCTCATTGGCTAGGCGCGAATCTGAGACCAACCATCAGTGTTTATGGTTTTACCCATTCGGTCACTGGGAGGCAACTTAAAGAAGATAAAAATTTTGATGTTTGTGAAGCGAACATTGCTATGGATTGTGATGTTATAACCACTGAAGAGGCTCTGTTATAGTCAGGGCGAAATGCATTTTGAGGTAATATTAAACTAATAAAGCTGGTTCCTTTTAGAGTCCACCAGTAGCCAAGCGGTTCCGTTCCCTAAACATTGGCAGTTCGGTCGCATCCTCCCTTAGGCAGATCGCCCAAGCGTTGCATTGCCGTAATTTAATGAATAAAACAAATTGGTTCATTTTAGAGGAAAGTTTTAGTCTATTAAAATCCCATATTTTAAAGAATATTTAGTTTAAAACAATTCTCGTAAACCGGTAAAGACAGAAGAATAATTTCTCCTTGTTATTTTGAGAAGTCTTTTAAAATATAACCTTTTAACTTATCAAATAACCGATTCCATTGTTAAATTTTACAAATATTTTTATATAAAGAGAATTTTTATTCATATCCGTTATGTTTCGGCTAGACTCACAATCAGGCGATCGGATGGTGAGATAAAGGTCCATCATATCTAGCCCAGACGATCAATTATGATTCCTGAGATTTCAAAATAGGATTTTTCAGGGTAGTTTTTTAAAACTCTTTCTGCCCTATGGGCACTAAGAGGATCTCTTTTAGCAAGCCCATTATGGGTTCAGTCAGGCCAGAGTCGGTAGATTAACTACCGACTCTGGTCAGGCCCACAATGGGGTGGCCGGGTGGTGAGGGACGAGGTCCGACATATCCGGATGGACCACTCTCGAAAAATTCCTGGGATTTTCCGACCCGTCTGAATTTGTTTGCAAATTGTATTTTTTTTTACTAAACTTTACTACAATCAATTTTACATTTAGAAAAAAAATCTGAAATGTAAATCACAATTTATTTTTTAAATATTTTTTTATAATAAATTTACACTTATTATATCATAAATAATAAAGAGTTAACAATTTTGAACATACTGATGAGAGTATTTTTATAATTCAAACTAAAAACAAACTTATTTTAAGTTGCTTGAAAAATTGATTTATAATTTTTTTCGTAGCTTTCTATTAATCTTTCTACAAAATAATCAGATATTTCCAAGCAAGTATGAAAACAAGAAACTCCGACGATAGAAATTCCATGAATAGCAGTCAGCAAGGCCACGGTGAAGAACGCTGGTTCATGTTTGAATTCCAAATCGGGATTTCTACGAAAATAAACCAATAGAAAACCCATAGTTAATATAAAACCCATAATTATCATCATCAGCATTCTTAAGAAAAGCATTTCCACTGACATTAAAGTAGCTTTGGAATGTTCGAATCCTGAAAGAAAACAAGAAAAATGTTCGAAAAACTTTCAAAAAATTATATAAATTATAAAGTCAAAATTATATAAAATTTAAAGTCAAACCTTCTTTCTTGAAATCTACTGTCGAATACAACATTGTAAGATGAGTCGCAAAAAAAAAAAATCTATCAAAATTTGCATATCTAAAGCATTGTTTTCAATGATTAATTGGAATATTACAAAACTTATTATTTTAATTTTTTAAAATTAATTTATATTAAATAAAAATGCAAAAATTGATTTTTATCAACGATTAGAAGTGTTCATTTTATTGCCTTGACCCGGTTTACAGCGTGTTTTTAATTCCAGATGTTGCTTCTTGTATCACCTGTTCTAAAAAAAAATTTCGGCATATCTTAGTTTTATAATGAAAATTTCAGAATTTTTTTTTTCTTCTATTTGAGGAGAAGCTATCAAGTAAGCTTTAATATTTTGTGCTTCTTAAACGCGCAATTTTCATTTAGTACAGTATAATTGTTTTGCCGCCAATATGCCAGTTGATAAATGTACCGAATTGATAAATAGATCGATGAATTTGTTACAATAATTAAATATATGATAAATTAGTGAAAAAAATGTAAGGTAAAAATCGTAGCGAATATGATTTCAACAATAGCGGCGATCTGTAATACCGTTAAAAATTGTATTCCTTTACTAATACTATTCAAATTTTCAGACTTTATTACTTATAATAATAATACAATTTATTCTGTATTTGTTTAAAGTATATAAATTTTACAACGAATTATATTATGTTTACATTTCTACGAAATTAACTTTTTTTTTAAAAACAAACGTTAACCTTCGAAGAGGTCAAAGATCGCAATTTTATTTTTAAATTTAGACGCGAGGTGGCGTTTGTCAAACCGCACCTTGTTACGATATGAGAAGTATCTAAACACAACGAGATGATCGTTAGAAAATAAATGTAAATTTATATTTAAAACGTATAATTTACAGGCGTAAATGTAAGTTTTGGCTTTTATTCATTGTTTTATCATTATTATAATAAAGTAAGAGTACTTATTCATTCAATGTAAGGAATCCATGACTCATATAATGCATTAAAATGTATATAAGTAAAAATTAATCGATTTCATATTTTAACAATGCTTTATAAACAGTGCATGTTTCAGAGTGCTGAACAATAATATTATGCTCTGTAAAGAAAACTATTGGGATTTACATTATGGAATATTCTTTTGTTTACACTGTAGATAGATAATAAAGAGTTGTGTATACATCTGTGAGAAAGTTGGAACTGTAATTATTTTTATTTGAATTAATGATGCTTGTCTAATGTCCTCTTTTGCTATTGATTTCTGTCAGGTATATATATTGATTGATGGGGAGGAAGAAAGCATTTCAGTTTGATAAATTACTGTATAGGTGAATTTTAGTTTTTACATTGATATTTCCTTAACAAATTGAATATCTGAAAAGTAATATTTTTCATTTCCTTATTTATAATGTTTTTTTTTTGTAGTAGTAGTAGTAGTAGTAGTAGTAGTAGTGAAACATTATAAATTAATAATACAGTAGAGCATCGATTATCCGACTCAATTGGGGACTCAGATTGGTCGGATAACTGAAAAATCAGATAACCGAAAAGAATGAAAAAATACATTATTAGTATATTAGTATAGCGCTATTAACCAACTTCGCATTGAATTTTCATCGATGTTAAGCCTAACATATTCTTTAAAAAAAATAATAATCGTCGCTATTGTATCGTTAAAAATTATTTTAAAATTATTTTATTGCTCACAAAACAAACAACCACTCATAATTAGAAAATTAAGTCTCGTTTAAATACTGGCCTCCCTTCAATGGTCGATCCCGTATTGCCAGCTAAAACATGCAAAAATTTAATAAAAATAATATTAAAGTAGCCAAGACATAGCCAAATGTTGTAGTATCACATCATTAGCGGACATTTGAAATTTGCGGACTAGAACGGTCGGTTAACCAATGTGACAGTTAATCGGAGGTCGGATAATCGATGCTCTACTGTATTTCATCTTTAAAATACTTTGAGATTTAAAAATATAATAAATCAAAACTAAAGATGATAAATGGCATTCTTTCAGAAGTCTTAAACTTTTCAAAATTATCTTGCACTTTTCGGGAGTATATTTTCTTGTCATTGATGAAAAAAAATTTTAATATATAAAAGATTTTTCCCATGCTTTAAAACTAATAATTGCTAAGCTATTTTATTCATTTTTTGAATTTAAATTGAAAATTGTTTTAAATCTGGATTATATCTATAAATTATAATTAGTATTGTTCATTATAGTAAAGTGTTATTTTATTTCAATATTTTAAACTAATTATCAGATGTTAATAAAAGAATCTTTAATGTTGTTATTTATAATATTTTTTTAAGTGATGATTTCAAAAGAATTAAATAATTATATTTTATTGATAATACATTTTTTAAAATATTTAATTTTGTAAAAATATTTTTTTCATGATGAAAATTATGAAATTATTACCCTTTCTAACATGCTATTGTCATTGTATTTTATGCTTAAGCATGTTGAAATTTATTATTCAATAAAATGGATATTAAACCTATAAAAACTTGAAGAATTTGAATATTGGAAAACAAATGAAGGACAACAGAATAATAATAAAAGATTAGTTCAACAAGACTGGAATTTAATTAATTAATCAGATAAATTTGTAAGACAAGAAAGATTTATTTATATTATAGAAGACAGAATATTTATAATTGATTAGAAACAAAAAGAATATAGTACTGATTTTTAAGTAATTGATGATATATTAAAGATTAATGAATTATCAAAATGTGTGTTTTTATACAGGATTGGCTTTCAGAAATAAAGCAAGAATTAATACTTTCAATCATGAATTTTTTTTTTCTGGTGGACTAAAATTATTTATATAAATTATATTTATATACATGAAAAATTTTCTAATTTCAAAAACTAGCTTTATTAAGGCTTTTAGGGTTTTTGTATTACATACAGTCTGCTTTGCTTAAGTTCAATGCATTCCTGTAAAGTCTATGGTACGATGTGAGACACTATTGATATTGCCAGCAAGAATCATTCAACTATGACATGTGCATTGATTGTTCTTCAATTTCCTATGTTTTTTTGATTGATCAATTACTTTCATTTAATTTGCCAAAAAATATTTCTAATTAATTTTCAAATTTATTTCAACACTATATAAATTTAAAGCTATTTGTTATTTAACATAAAATGAACTTCACTAGCAAACTATATAGTTATTGACTACTTTTAAGATTCTATATCATATAGCAGTGGTTCCCAATTAGTTTTTCCTGCATACCACTTCAAGAAAGAGCTCAAATTCTCATACCCCTTATAGCAGAAATTTGTATTAATCCATACTAATATTATAAATTCGAAGGTAATTCTGCCTGTCTGTTACCTTTTCACGTCTAAACCGCTGAACAGGTTTTAATAAAATTTGGCACAGAGATAGCTTACACATGTTGGAGATGGACATAGGCTACATTTTACTGCGAGAAAATATCTTACTCCCACAAGAAAATTCGATATAATGCGGGCGAAGCTGTGGGTAGACAGCTAGTGATAAATAGAATAAGTTTTTTTTACATTTATTACCTTTAAAATACAATTCTAATAATAATTAAATAACATAAGGTTATTTAATTTTATTGTGACAAATGTGCACGATTTTCTTTGCACAACTTTGTACAATTTTTGTTTCTTGTATAAGAATTTCATTTAGGTATTGTCACAAATGCATTTTTTTTTAATGAAATTTTAAGAATATTTTTAGTTATAAATAAATGGATTTGTGCATTTGACATCATGTAAATTGCCAAATTTTTGATGGTTCACTCATTATTTTTTTTGATTGTTTCATCTCATGCATTTAAATTTTAAATCGACAGATTTTAGATTGCCGTGCTTACCCCTTCATGCAATTTCGCGTACCACTAATTGGGAACCATGGTCATATAGTATACTATATAAAAAGCAATCAATAATAAGAATTTTTCAAGAATTTGGAAAATGTCAGTAATATGGAGTTTAGAATTTAATAAATATTTATTGATGTTATTTTTAATTAATACAAAACATGCTTTATAGAAATATAGTTTATAATTTAATGTTTTAAAGAAAATTTTAAATCAGTTTTAAAATCATATACCTATTTTAAAGCAATTAAAAGTCAATTATTTTTACATTGTTTTGACAATACTACTATTCAGCAGTATATATCCAGTGAAATATGAAACATAGATGAAGCATCAAATGACATGGTTGACCTGTATTCATATTCTTATGGATCATGTTGTATTTACTAATTTTGAAAAAATTTGTAATACATTTTTTATTAAGCTGTTCATTTGCATTGTTATTTTTGTACGTTATCCCATTAAAATAGATTAAGTCAAAATGATAATTTTGATTCAAAATCTAAACAAAGACTCTTAAAATAGTATTTCCCAACCTGATGCACAAAACTCTTCCAGGGAGTTCAGTAAAAAAACCTCAGTGATTGCCAATGTAATTTCAAAGAAATTTGTACCTAAACAGTTCAAAATTTTTAGACTATTCTAAAATATATTGAGTTTAGAATGCAGGTCTAATGAAAATCCTTTTGGATAAGCTATAGCACCACTTGTCATTATAATTTACTTAAAACATTAAATTTCTATAATATAGTGATGGACAGCACGCTAATCATTTATTACAAAAAACTTGCGATATAAGTGTTAAATTAACCACGTATGTCACTAAATTGACGAGCGCTTTCAACGATACACACTTTCGTCTTCTTCAGGTCATTAGAAGATACTGCATAAGAACCTTTTTTTGAATACAAAATTTAAAAAAAAAAAAAAAAAGTTTTTTGTAAACATTAAATTATTTTTGTAAACCATTTGACAACATTCTTTAACTATTTTCAATTTATGGACATTTAAGGATATATGAAATTTTTTATTTTTATAAAATATATATGAACTGGAAATAGTTAGGAATCACTGCCTTAATTTTTATGGTAACAGCTAATAACTAAAGCTGGATAAAATTATATAGAAAAGATGAATAGTGATGAATGTGTGGATAAATGAATGTTGAAAATGTATTAAATAAATCATATGAAATTGCAGATTTTGTACATTGTAAGTGATAGACTGTGACTGAAAGCATCAATGAATGTAGAGAAGATATTAGAAAGGAAATTTATAGTGATCTGACTTTGATCATTTTACTTAGAATTTACTGACATGGAACATTCTTTCTCTGAGGTTGTCCTATATAAAGATTATGGAAGAATTTCATTCTTCCATAATCTTTATATAGGACAACCTCAGAGAAAAAATCAACCACAAAGAATTTTTGGTCTGTTTAATATAAAACTTATAATTGATATATTTAGAATTATTTCTAATGAAATAAATTAAATATTCAGCACATTATTATTAAAGTAAAACCTCACTAAGTCAAATTGCATTAACACTAAGCTGTCTATAGGACACAATTTATAAGATTTTCCATATAATACAATCTCATTAGTCACACTTGTCAGTACTTTTAACTTGAACATATTTTCCTGTGTACTTTCCACACTTTGATTAATTCTTCCATTTTTGTCTTATATTCCATTTGAATAAGATGATTAAATAAACAAACACTATGACTCAGTCATATACAGCACCATACCATTACACAACCTTGTGTTAACATCCTTTTATTGATACAATATCTTACCTGCATAATGATTGGAACATGAGAGGACCTTGACAGCACACTTAAGTGCCATAAACTGTACAATTTTGTAATTATTCTGTGAGCAGATTCTTGAGAAACAGCTTGATAAAGGAAATTCATGGTCACAGAAAAATCTGAGAAAATCAGGTATTAAACTTGTTAACTGAAGTTGAGATTTTACTATATTTCATTTTTGGTTAAAATTGATCATAGTGTCATCATTTTATGATAGAATGTGTAATTAATTAATATATAAAATTAGATGAAAAATAAAATAAATTTATCATAGAATAATTTACTTTTACAGTAATTCTATATTTCTATATTTATAGATTCTGTGTTAAATAAGAATATTTTTGTTTTAATTTAATTAAAATAATTTATATTTTAAATGACAAAGGTCATAAAATTAACTATCCATATATTGATATTTTAATAAATTTTTTTTTAGGAAAATAAAATTATAGATAACATTATGGATCGTATATTCTGGCTGTTCATACTCATCATTATATGTCATTCATCAGGTAAACTATTTTTTAAATACATTAAAAAATTCTAATTCAATTTTATACTTTTGTAAATTTAATGTACTTTCAGTCTAAAATTTGTTGAAACAGAATGCTCAAATTTAATTTTGTTTTAAATTTACACTAGCTAAAATTTTTAAATATTAAATATATTAATTTCATAAAGTTACATGTTATATACAAAATTTAATCGACCAACAAATAATTTAAGAGTTCATTTTATATAATTATAATAAACTTTAAATAGTTTGAATAAAAGTTTGTTAAAATTAGTTTGCAAAAATGTAAAATGTACTCTTGTTTGATTTATTTTGGTATAGTATTTATAAATTATTTTATTTAAATTATATTATTTATAAACAAGATAGTTTTTATTTTTAACACAATTATGGAGAATTAATTACATTTATATAGAAAGTAATATATATAAACATATATTTGTTTGTATATAAATATCTTTTTACTTTCATAGTAAATTCAGAAAACTGTTACTTGAAATTGCACATCAATTTTCTGCTTTCACAGTTTATGATAGAATATAAACTGTATTATTATGATGTTAAATTAGAAAACCTATTTAAAATTTACTTTAACAGTTGCTTTTCTTTATTTTAAGTTGATTTAATATGCAATCCTAATTTTAAAATGATTACAATGTTTAATCTCATTTAGTTATATATTAAAGTATCACATATAAAGTTATATAGTTGAAAATGTTTATTAAAATGATAAACTTGTTATGTTTATGCTTTAATATTTTTATCATCACTTTTCAAATTTGTTATGTTTTTAGTTTGCATAATTTATTTAAGTTATCATTAAACAAAATGATGTATCATTTGTTTTATTATACAAATTAAAAATGATTTTTTTAGAATGCTCTTAGATTTTGCTCTGTAATACTGTTAAATAATATAGATAATCAGTAAATAGTATTCTTGTAAACTTTGATTCATTAGTTAGCAATCAGTTTTGCAAATAGCATGCATTTAAAAAAAATTTGTGAACGTACAGCATGTTATTCTAATGTATACACATTAGAATAACATAATTTAATAAGCTTTATTTACTATTATAACTTGTAATTTATAGATTGTGTAATTTCAAAATTGCATAAAATAATGTTAAGTAAATTTCAATCACACTATATTTTATTTTACCAGATGTATGAATTGGGAAATGAATAAATCATTTTAATTTTGAAAGACAAAGTTGTCAAAACAATATACAATGGAACCTCTATATTTGTAATATTCGATATTCATCACATTTTGATGACTTTTTTATTTTTTCATTTTTTGTCATTATTTTCTGTGTTTGTCATCATTCCAAATACTGGAAGTGGCACTATAATTGCATCAGCTAGCTGTGTTAGCTAGCTGTAGTTAATCAGTTTGCTTTCTGTGTGTGTGTTGTTTCAAAGTGACAGCCTAATGTTGCTTTAGTCAACCAAAATACAAACACAGGTAGCCCTCGGTTTACGCCGCAGTTCCGTTCCTACAAAAGCTGGCACTAATCGAATAGGCGTAAAATGAACCCATATTTACAGTGAGGTATAGGGTTAGGTTCTAAGCAAATAATTTTGTTTATTAATACAATATAATACAAAATACATATATTATAAATTTAATTTTTTAAAATGTATTTTATGATAAAATAAAATGAAATATTTTTATTAAAAAAATTATAAGAAAAACAAATGATATTTCAAAGTTTCAGATCTCTCACATTTTTTGCAAAAAGTATCCATTTGTAATTGTTTAGATTTTTTTTTTTCTTTCATTAATAATTTTGGAATATGGTCGAATGGATGTGATGATGCTCCTTTTTACATTTGCACTTCGCTCCCAATCATTGTCTAACTCACAAAGTTCATCCGTCAAACTTTTCATAGTTGAAAGGATATACTAACCCGAAATAGAGCTACAGACAAGCGGAGATGCTTATTGGTCGACCACCAGCCGCCGTAGTGCATATATAAGGTCAGTTTGGGCGGAAAAATTGAAGTTGGTTTTGTCTTGCTAAGGAGAGTTAGATATCGTCTGGCCAATAAGAAGGTATCTTCTGGCCAAAGAGAAGTAGATTTCATCTCACTAATGATAATTTGTGATCGCTGGAAGTGCTACTGCATTGTAAGGTGTTTTCCTGAACAAACTGATACAGGATATGAACTATTTGCATTTATTAACGCTCTGGATTCGGACGACATTTATTGAACTATTAAGTTTAATAACTTGACTCGTGGGAGCCCAAACATTTAGTATTTTAATGTTAATTCAATGCAAATGTATACATACCCAATAATATTAAACAGAAAAAATATATTCAATAAAAATCTTTGTTTTAATGAATGTACAATGCCATGGTGCAGTAAATACGTCAACACTGAAGCGAAAATCAGTCTGGCATAGGGAAAATCGGGGAATTACACAACAAAACGGCAAATTACACAGCAGCATTATTGAGAATCAGCATAAACTGGGCTGGCATAAACAGAGGGCTACTTGTACATTCAATGATAATGTAATTGCCTACTTCAGAAAAGTTTTAAAAAGCAGACAAAAACCACACAACACTGGACAAGTTCTTTATTAAATCGAGTGCTACTGAGTCATCAGAAAAACAGACCCCATGATCATAATATGAATTACCTAATGTTTTAATTGCTATGTCTTCTAAACAATAATACTATATTAATAATACTGTTCTTCCCCTTCTACCATTATATTGTATTTATTTAGTACAATAAAGATAGTTTTACAAACAACATAATTTTTACTCTTGTACCATTTTTTCAGGATGAGAACAGATTACTTGAAATATCAGTTATTTATTATGAGAAAAACTGTTTCTATATTCGTCATATTCCATATTCATTAGGTCCTTAGGAACAGATTAATGATGAATATAGAGGTTCCACTGTACAATATATATTATATTATCAAAACTGCAAATTGTTATTCCATTATTGTACTCAAAGATAACTGTAAATTAAAATTACGATAATTGATATTAATTTTTTAAAATGTTTTTATTAAATTTCTGAAATGTATTTCAAAATTTTATTTTTTGTTATTGACATTTAGCTTAAAAATTAAAATTGAGTATATTGTTTTTCTAATACAAAGCATTTTCAGATTATTTTATAATTTTATGGTGATATAAATTCCAAACACAGTGAGTTGAAATTGTCTTTTAATATAATTATTCATCAATTGAATAATGGGATTAAAAATAAGGTGCTAATGTATTTCAGCAGTTTAATATTTACAATTTAATCTAGAATATTTTATTTTAGTTCATAATTAATTTTGTGTGATGATTAAATGATTCTTTTGGCAAATATTGATTTAATAATTTATGACAGAATCAATATTTATTTATTTATGTCTACACACAACATATAGGCAGTAACTTTGGAAACTAACATTTTCTGATATGATGATATTTTTGTTATCCATAAATCATATGCTAAATTTTCATTTTTGTACATTTTCAGCCAATAAATAAAATTTCAAGGCATCCTGCAATGGTTTTAGTAACACAAATCATTTGTCAAAAATAATTTTTGTCTGTTTTCTATTTAATCAATAGTTTTCAATGTTTTATACATAAGTTTAATAACCTATTCACTGTAAAAAATAAAACTTTTTTATCTTAATAAAAAAAAAACACTTAAGTTTTCTTTTTTTAATTCTCTAGGAATGAAACTTCTTTTATAAAATGTAACTCTCTTGCTTAACTTTCATACATAGAAATAGTTTTATTTTCCCAACTCTGTTGGAAAAGTCTTGTGAACAGTCAAAAAATGATTCCGTATCCTCAAAATTAAGCTTTTTTCTGTTTTATAATACAGTAGAGCGTCGTTTATCCGAAAGCTGGTTATCCGAAACGTCCGTTATCCGAAAGCATTCCAGTCGGCAAATTTAAATTTTCACTAGTGCTGTGGCGCTGCAATCTTCGGCTATTTCTCGGGCTACTCAAATATTTTACGTTTTTGATACTAAATTAACATCTGAAGTATAATTTTTTATTGTTTTTATATTTTTCAATAAATTTATTTTGTTTGTACAAAATAAAAAAATAATTTCTAATGATACAATAGTCTTCATTAGGCTTAACATTGACGAAAATTCAACGTGAAGCGACACGCAACGGAGAGAAATTTCAACATGGGATAAATTAATATATTTTTTCGTACATGATTCGTTATCCGAAAAATAAGTTATCCGAACCACCCCAGTCCCCAATTGATTCGGATAAACGACGCTCTACTGTAATTAAAAATGTAAAAATTTTTTAAAAATAAATTATTATAACAGATACTGCCATACACCAAGTTTTTGTTGCTGGGAAAGTTAAGCAACTCATTTTTAGGAGTGTATTACTGTAATTCCTACACTTTATCAGAAATATAAGTAAATAAACTGCTTACATAAAATTCACAAAAAATTAATGAAATGAATTAACTAGAAGGCTAACTTCAGGCATTGAGTTAGAATAATTGTAAAGTTTTTAAATTCAATGTTTGCTGAATTCTGTCTTGACAGAATTCAGCAAACAGGAACAGAGACTACTTGACATAGTGCATAGTGAGCATAGAAAAAAAACAAAGTAACAACAACTTTCAGTATCATGAAAACTGTATTTCAAGTACATGAATTTAGATATCACTTGTTTACTAATGAGAACTGCCTCCATGCCTGAGATATTTTTTTTCTGCTCATTATGCTGTTAGTCACATGATTTTCTATTCTTATAACAAAGGCATTCAACAAACTTAAAAACTCTTGATGTCTGAAAATGGCTTGTTAGCCAAAAACATTCATTTTTAATTTATTTGATTTCATTTTTTTTTTTATCTTTTACCTGTATGTAAGCAATTTATGTATTTAGGACTATTACATATGAAAGTTGGGTAATAGAGAGGTTGCGGCCGAAGTTTTCATCTTTAAAATATGAACATCGAGCGCCGCTATCTTGTAAGCAACATTCGACGTTCACGCTTTACAGATGAAAACTTCGGCTGCAACCTCTCTACTGTTTTTATAGTTCTATAAATTTAATTATTTACATTGATTAAAATGACTTTTGTAATTTATTTAATATTTTAATTTTTAAGTAAAGGATATAATGATATTGTATTATATATTAAAGTAAGGATAAATTTTAAAAAATATAATTTAAATACACTTTTTTAACTTTATATCTAGAAACATCAATTCCAGGACCATCATCATTGAAAGTGATTAATAGATCTGAAACAGAAATTCATGTGCAGTGGTCACCAGTATCTTCAAAAAATATCATAAATTATCATGTAAGGAAAAACATTACAAAAATGCTAAATTCTAAAAATGCTAATTTATTGTCAGTAACTTTTTGTTATTTAAATATTATTACAAATAGATAAAAGCAGATCCAATAAAAAGTTATTATGAAAATCAGCCACCTGTTAAAAAGGAATGGTCATTTAGTAATAAAACTGAGAAAGCTGATTTATTACAATTAGAACCAGGAACTCAATATAATATAACTATATGGGCTTCTACAAGTGATGGAGATACTACATCCATTTCAAAATTTGTATGGACAGTTGTGGGAGGTAATTTTTGTCATTAATAATCTGTTATGATTTTATATGTAATTTTTAATAATTTTTGTTGAAATTTATTTTTATTTTGTTATAAAAAATTGTAAAAAATTAGTTATATAAAAAATTGTTGATTTTTACAATAAATAAAGTTTGATTAGCTACTTTTATGATTAATACAGTATTTCCTTATAATTATATATGTGTATGTATTGCATATGTATGGTGATTTTAAATAATAATAGCATAAGTAAAATATTTCACTTTTGATTTAGCTACAGAGACTATTAATTAAATAAGTTTGATTTAGTTTTAAGCCAAACTTAATACACTACTCTTTGGATCATGTTTATATAATAGCCATGAAAAATTTCCTTTCTAAAAATCCATTATCTGGAGAAATGCTATTTGATATTGTGAAAAGCAAGAAGGCACAACTTCAATGTGTGATTATGTAAAAGTAATGACACAAGATGTTTTATGCTATACTCACAGATAGTAAAAGTGCAGTGATTTTCATTTTGCTGAACATGCTTTTCCTGTGAAATTATATTATCAAACAACAGTAATACTGTTACTATGTCCTGGGAGTTCTGGAGATGTAAACCATTGCAAAGTCCACTGACATCATGTGCTCTTATAATAAGAATAATTGAATTGTCTAATTGAAGCTAGATGTTTAGAAGTGAAACAAAGAAAATGACATGAACTGATTTGTCAACAACAGACTGAAGACATTTTCTTCAACTTTATGGAGCAATCAATAGATAAAGCAATAGGTTCCAACAGTACATGTGCAATGCTAAAACAGTTGAGGTTGCCTTATGCAGCTGTACAGAAAACTCTAAATAAATTGTTTCTATGCCTAAAAAATGAATCCTACTTTTTTCACTTGAATGAGACTGAACAGCCATAATTGCCTCATTTTGGACTGAGGAAAATGCATGAAATTCAACAAATTCCTTTCCACATGTTAAGTGCTATTGCATGATGTGGATTTACAGTGATGTTTTATTATTAGTCTGTTTAAAAAACTCATTGAACTGAGTTTATAACCTGTTCCACTGCTGTCCTGTTTGGACAGCAATGGACCAGGTTATTTGTTCTCCTACAACTGTAACAGTGATTTTCACTGCTAAAGTTTGTATTGATTTGTATATTCTGTATAGTTTGTCAAAAATATGGATTTGTTCATTTTATGCATGATAGAACACATTCTCACATCAGACATTCTGTACAGCAGTTGTTGCAACATTTTGCCAAAGATAGTGATTTGTCCTAATTTCCAATTGCAAAACCTTTCTGCCATTGCATACATAATTTGCTAATAATGAAAGCCATTGAGTATTTTTTGGTATAATTTTTACTAATTTTGATACCATAGTAAAAGAGCTTGTTTGTATGTTGTTTACATTTCATATTTAGATTTCTGGTTCAGTTGCATTTTAGACCTGAAATCAACGACAGTTTTTTCTTCTCGCAGTTCCAATTTCTCTCTAGTAGTAATGTTTTGAATTATTGAAATTTTTTTTTTTTTTTGTAAAATTTCCTTTAATGTGTTCTGCAGACTAATTCTACTAAGTTTGAATTTCAGCTGCTATGTACTATGTCTATAGCTGACTTTGAATATGGATATTGTAATTATGATACTAAGATTCTATTTCTTTCTGTTAACATTTCACACATTAATTTTCTCAAATAGTAAATTAATTTGTTAGAGTAAAATAGATTTTACTTCATGACTCCAATAGTTCAAAAATGATTGTTTTTATTTTGATATAGAAAATTTTTGAAATTAACTGTAAATATTTTGTTGATTTTACTTAATGAAATGTTTTTTATTGCATACCATATTATGATTGTTTCAATATCATTTCTATTGCTCAATTTTTAGTTAAGGTGTTTTTTAGTGAATTGAATCATAGATACTTGCATATTTTAGTAAATACAATTATGTTTTATTCACTACTATACTATACTAATTGTTTTTTTGGTTAAACAAATAAGTATAGAGATAATTCATTTGACTATATTTAAAACACTTTAAAAATACTTCTTAATATAGATTGATGATCTTGATGATTAACAATACACTTCATATTGTTTGGCTGATTTTAACATTGTGATAATACTAACTTCACTTTTACTTTTTAATCTCATTAAACTTTGAAGTTCAGAACATGCTTAGAATTATAAATATTTATATAATTTTTCATAATTTAGTAATTTTATCATTAACATTATCCTTCTATTGGTTAAATGGAGTAACATTTCAAATAATATACATTTCAAAGATTTAGTAAATTATCATCCCTTTAAATCATATTCTATAATGTAATATAAATTGTAATTAGATTTTTAAAAATAAAATTAAAGATTATGTTAGAATATTTGTAATTCTCAAGTTTATATAAATAACTGTTGGTTTTAATTATGCCATTAAGCTTTTTCAGTAAGCTTAAATTGTTATATCTTAGTATGTTTTTATTCATGTATTAAAGTATTATTAAAAAATTTATAAATTAATATTAATATAAAATGAAAATATTTAATTTATAACACACTATGTTTGATTTTTAAAGAGTTTAAATACTTTTCTTTTTACATTTTAATTAATTATGACATTTTTCCTATTGGACATGACAGCACCAGAAAGACCTCCTGTTGTACAAGTTCTTAAAAGGACAGGAAAAACAATTGGCGTAAAATTACATCCTGCTTTTAGAAATGATAATTCTATTATGTAAGTAGAGAATAATATTTATATATATTAATTTTTAATGTTACTAATTTTAAATTAAAATTTATAACATTATATTAAAAAATTATTATACAAAAGTGTTTAAAACATTTTGAAATTACAATTTTAATTAATTAATTTTTTTATTTTTCTATATTAAATGAACTATTTATATTTCTATTTATCCTTATTAATTCTATTCTTTTATTGATAATCCTTTTTGTATAAATTAGTCATTTGTTTGAATGTTATGTGAATAAAATAAGGTTAAAAAATTTAAAAGTTATATAGAGAAACAAAATATGAGATATGAGTCATTTATCAATATAAATATCAATTTTTTGATTTATATTAAATCAAAATTTTTAATTTAAAATAAATGAACTCACCCAATTACTTATAAAGAAGAAATGACTCTGTTAAACTGATGTCATTAGTTTCTAAAACAGCTTTGGCAGTTTTTCAAAATTAAAGGTATAGAAATTTAATTGTAAAGGTACTGGTATTTTATTTACAAATTAATTTAAATTATTAAGTATATGCAATGTGCTTTAGTTTTACATCTCAAATTGTCGTCTTAGTCTCAAACTATAAAATTACATTTACAAAAAACAAAAATAATAATGTAAAATATCTCTATTTATTTACTTGATATAGGAAATTTAAAAATCATTTATTATACAAAAAATAAATAAATATTATTTTTATTTTTAAAACTGTTCTGTTATTTACATTAGTAATTGTTGTATTAAGTCATTTAAAAAATGTATAAAATTATTTATTTCTTAGGTTTTATAAAGTGATTGTATTAAAGGAAGAACCAATTGTGACATTTAATTCAGAACGATTGTATAATTACTCTGAAGCAGTAAAAAATGGCTTGTCTTTTTATGTTGCTGCCCAGCTTACCCCAGAAGAAATAGAAAAAGTATTTTATGTTGGTGATGGTAAAGTATATGGTGGATTTTACAATGCACCATTGTCAGAAGATCAATCATATGATATTATGCAGGGAAATATAATATCTCTTAATGGGGTATGTTAAAATATTTTGAATTTATATCTTAATAATATTTATAATAATCAAATGCTTTAAATTTTAGGTAACAAAAGCTTCCTATTCACCAACAAAAACATCTCCGAATATTACCCCACTTGGAATAACTCATCGGACACAAATTACAGGTGAATTTATATTGAATTGTTATTGAAATCTTTCAAACTTTTTTTAAATTAAAATGTAACATAATAAATATGTTAATAACTTGTGTATTCTGAACCCGTGTCTTCTTTTATCTGTTTTTATCATCACAACTAAGTGCATAGATAAACACTGGGCATTTCTATGTCATCTTTATTTGGAATGTCCTATAGGCAGATACGCATTTTGGGCATAAGCCCCTCATCTGTTGGCATGACTTCCAGGATTTCTTGTAGGTGTCTTAACACATATACATTCTGTTTAAAATTACTTATTTACAGTTAAAATTGTTTTACTATTAAAATACTATCGTAGTTTAAAATATATTCACAATTAAAAGAACTATTACAGTTAAGGTTTCTTGACTTAACATCAAACATCTTCTAGCACATACTCTTGACATCCGTATTAACGAGGTTTTTGTAAATAAGTAATTTTAAATGGAATGTATACATGTTAACACCACCTACAAGAAATCCCGGAAGTCATGCCGACAGATGAGGGGCTTATGCCCAAAATGCGTATTGGCCTATAGGATATTCTGAATAAAGATGATGTAGAAATGCCCAGTGTCTATCTATGCACCTAGTCGTGTCGATAAAAACAAATGTTAATAACTTCTAACCATATTCAAAATAATGCTGTTTGTAAAAATTAGATTACACATATATCGTATGCTATATTTCTGCAAAATGATGCTTAAGAAACCATATAACCATATAATTTATAATAATTTTAATATGAATTATATAAGATAATATAATCCAAAAATGGTTAAAAAAAAACGAAAGTAATAATTATATTACTTGAATTTGTTTTGATTAAAGATATATTACCAATAAACAGATATCATAGTATTATTACAAAAATACTTCATTAAATAACAGATTATATAAATATCAATATAGAGAAATAAATCACAATTGTATAGTTCAGGTAGCCAATACTTTTAATAAAAGAAATTTTAGGATTAAGTATTGTAGATTAACTCTTAGTAATTAATTTTTTAGAATATGTATATCCTAATAGGAATTTTAGTATTTTACTGGTTAGAGCATTTGAAATACAGTAAAGTTTGTTGATCCAGCACCTGATAATTTGGAATGTTTTATAGTTTGGCATTTGAAAAGTACCCAATAATCCAGATTTGTCCAATAATCTGGTATGTAATATTTTGAAAATCTGAATTTGCACATTTGGTGCACTAAAGACCACAGCATAAATTGAGATGAAGGTCGGGATGTAGTCATGCGTACCATGGTTTATAGCCCAACTAACATTGGGAGGTGAACCATGGAATTAAGGACAATCTGATTTGAGATAAATGACTTATTTTGTTACAGCACTTTGTTAAGTTGGATTGGTTGCTTTCCTGTACCAAATACACGTTTTCATCACAGTCACCAAACAAGTTGGTGCAAACATCTTTCAGGATTAAACTTGAAAATATCATCTGATGATTGCAGGTTGTTTTCTAACTCTTTACACTCTGGTCATTAAGAGCTTCTTTCCACACCTAATGAAGATTTGACCAGGCCCCCAATGGAGGTGGTAGATGGTGAGGAATAAGAACTGATATTCTAGAACAAACCTTCCATGAAAAGTTCTGAGATTACTCACCCAGATTCAATTTCAGTTTCTTCAGAGTGGTATGGTGATGTCTTAATTATCATGGCCATTCAGCCACCAATGTTCACAGGTTTAAAAGAATTCAATTCTCATTGTCTGAGCACTACCATCTATAAAAGGAGCTTTCTTATACAGGAATACCAGTTGTTTTGGAATCACTCTTCAGTCATTCATAAGTTCTTTTCAAGTTGCTCTCCAGCTGTAATTTAATTCAACAAAGTTTAGAAAGTAGAATTGGCATGCTGATTCAATTTTTATGCAATATATCTCATCTCCAAACCTGTACTGTTATCCATCACCATTGACTGTCAGCTTTCACTTAACAGTGACACCAGCATTTATATAATATATAATTTGACTGAAGTAAAGCATAAAATAAATAAAAATAATAGAATAATATTTATTATTAATTACATATAACAAAAAGTATATGAAAATTAACGTATACTTTTTGTTATACGTTAATTTGAACCTGGAAAGTCAGGAAGAGTCAGAGATTTTCATTAGTGTTTGAAAAAAGTCAGGGAATTTCCCTCTTTGCCTTGTTGATTTTTTGCTGACAATATGCTTGACTAAATATAGTTGCAGACAGCAAGAAGTAAAGTGGTGCAATACAACTTATGAAAAAGGGTGCATAATTTTCCCAAAAATTTACAAATCTTGTGTGTTTACATTTGGTACATTCTCAATGTTAATCATTTTAGTCATTATTTTTTCACAGTACAGTAGTTTAAAATTGCTGGCATTATGTTAGTTGTTAAAGTTGAAAGCAAACAACAGATAATATTGGATCAATTATATATTTAATAAATAACAATAAATAAATATTTAAATTATTCATTTATACATTTTGTAATTGTAATCTTATTTACTTTGCTTAATGTTATCACTGTTATTGTTGCCAGTTTAGATGAATCTCAAAGTGATTACAATAAGCAAAGGTAATTTTATGTATATATATATATATACATACATACATAAAATTATATGTATGTATATATTGATTATATATGTATGTATGTATGTATATATATATATATATATTTATTATTATTATATCTATGTTCTCTTAATTATTGAGTAATTTTTGGAAATTACTTTTATTTTTATCCATTCTTTTCTGTTATTTATATAAATATTTTAAATTTTCAGGTCCAACCAGTTCAACATTAACTGTAATTTTAGCAACTGCTATTGGAATTTTTGGATTTTTATTAATTTTGTCTTTTATTATATATTATCTTCTACGTCGTCACTATGGAAAACGTAGACCTTCTGATGAATTAGTATTACATGTACAAGGATCAGAATCAGTAAGAAAATTTAAAGTATTCCAAAATAGAAGTTTTCTGCTGTTACTGATTTAAATTTTTTATACTCTATTTTATTTTATGGATAAATATTATTTAAAATTATATCAGTAGAAAATGAAGATTTTTTTTTAATCACAAAAATATTTTATTTTTAGATTTTATTTTAAATCATATTTATTGTACATTGCAAAGCGTGCATATATATATTATATATTTTGCTATATATATATAGCAAATGAATTGAAACAAGAACACTTTCATCTCGTCTGAGAATACAATTCTTAGAACAGTTAAACAAAATAAAAATATAAATTGTGTGCCAAAATGGAAAGTGAATCATGTCTGATATCTAAACACAAGTCAGCTAGCTTGAATTCTGTCAAGAGAGCATGAACAAGGATTGGAAAACAGTATTATTTAATTTTCTTTCTTGCACTAGTGCTGCAATATTAAAACAAATTTTTATTTTATGTGATATTCAGTGGTGAGAAAAAGTTTAACTTAGATGGACCTGACAAGTTTGCTAATTATTATCATGATTTATGTAAAAAAAACCAGTTTTTTTTTCCTAAACAAATTTCTCTAGTTGAAACCTGACAGTTTGGAGAACTTTCAGTTTTTGAGGCAAGCTGGTGTCCTTTACATCATCCAAAATAGACAGTAATGAATATCAGAAGCATTGCAAGACTACTTGAGTCCATATTTACAATACTTTAGAAGAATAAAGTTGTTTTTAGCCTGAGCAATGTAATGCAATGAAAATATGACTATACAAGTTAGCACAAGCACATATGCTTGGTTAAATTAGGAAAACATTGATCTTATAAAATGGCCAGCTTATTCCCCAGATTGAAATCTCATGGACAACCTAATGGGGAATTCTAATGAGGAAAGTCTGCAAAAAAATAATAGACAAAATAATGACAAATAAGAACTTTATAATGCAATAATGTTTATAAAGAATGAAATAGATAATTTCACTTTGCTGAAGCTTACAGAAAGAATGTCTAACTGAATTTTTCAAATAATTAATTGAAATGGACTCTGCTGCAATTATCAAATTTAATCAAAATTGTTTTATTTGTAAATTAAAATATTAATTTTGATGGTGTGTGTATATATATATATATATATATATATATCTTTACATTAATGAGATTCTGGATTTCATCACTTTGTTTGAAATTAACAATTTCTTTTACATTACATAAATTCTGTACTGTACTGTTAATTCATTTATCAATATTGAATTTAATGCAGAATACATAAATTCTTTAAATTCATGAAAGTGGAGGGATTTGTATATTTATGCTTTGCAGTGTAGATAACAATATGGGATATAAATATTTACTTATTTATTTAAAGATACTTTTTATAATATAAATTTATGGATTAATAAGAGATTTTTACATTTTGTAATTTTAGGAAGAGAATGGGTCAGTCCCTGGAGTGTTGCAGATTGATGAAGATACTGATCTTGGGGATTTTTTTGAAAATTTAAAAGAAAGATATTGGCATATACCAAAAAATCACATAACTATTCATCAAACTGTTTTGGGTCAAGGAGAGTTTGGAGAAGTTAGAGAAGGAATTGTTTTCCGTAAAGCGCATGGAACAACAACACTTGTCCAACAAGTTTATGGTATCTAATTAAAAATTGTTATAAGTTTTAAATTCTTATAAAATTCTTATTAAGATTTTCAAATTTAGCTCCTCCATCCATGGATGAAAAAGAAAGGAAAAATATGTTGTCAGAATTAGATACAATGATTCGAATTAGAATTCATCCTCATGTAGTAGAGTTTATTGGTGTTTATGAAGATAGAGGTGAGTAAAAAATACAGTAAATTTATTTTTTTTTAATTGTATTATATTTAAAATATGCTTTTTTGTTTTGTTTAGATCTGTTACATATTGTGATAGAAAATTCTTCATCAACTTTAAGAGGTATGCTATTAAGAAGTCGACAGCTAACAGATGGCTATGTTTGCAATTTAGCAGAAGCTCATTTAATAGAAATTGCTTTTGGTATAATACAAGGAATGATTCATTTATCTGAGCATGGGGTAAGTTCAATTTTTATAATATCTTTAAAAAAATATATTTTTTACACTAAAATATCTTTAAAAATATTGTTATTTTATTAAATAATTGTAAATTTATCTCAGAGTATTTGAAGTTTGTCATTGTAATTAATTTCTATCATTTGGCTCATATATATTAATACTATTCAATTTTTATTAATTAAGTAATGCTTTATTTACTTTTGTTATTTGGATACTTTAAACAAATATAGCAGGGGTGGGCAACCTTATTCTATGTAAGGGCTACATTTAAAATTTTTGAACTGACGCAGGTCACACACAAGTAAAGAAAAAAAAGTGGGTAAATCACAATTATTTATTCATATACGATTATAAATTAGCATAAGTATGCTTAACTTCACTTCTGTCACTGATTTAAACATAATATATCCAAAATATTTGGTTGAATATTAGACACTGCTAGTTTTAGTTTTCATGTTAGTCTATTGAATTCTTAGTAAAAATTTAGTAAAAAGTAAAACAAAGTTGTAGAAAATAATGACAGAATTTTTGCTGCATACTTCCTTAAATTGGGAAATTTAAGGAAGTACCACGTCAGATATTGTCATGTGTTTGTATGGTGAATCGTTGGGCCAATATTGAGTGCGGAAAGCTTTAGTTGGCTACCGTGGCTATACAAAATATTTAATAATATTTTGTGTAGCCACGGTAGCCACAAAATATTAATGTGGGCCATGGGTTACCCACCCCTGAAATATAGAACAAATATATCAGAATCAATTATTCTCAAAATATCTGTACTATATCACTACATTTCATAATATTTATGTATCAATATTATTTTTTTAGCAATTTATTTTATTTAATAATAAATATTTGAGACTTATTTGAGACCTAAGAAGAAAATTTAAAATAAAAATATTTCTAAATAATATTGCATACAACTTTTATTATTATTTTTTAGATTTTACATCACCATTTATCCTCAAGAAGCATTGTTATGATAGATGGATATACACCTAAAATAGCTAATTTTGGATTAGGATTTTTTAATCCATTAGGAAAAGTAAGAATAACTTGTACTTTTTAATTAAAAACATTTTAACTTAAACATATCAGAATGCAGAAATTTTTCAAATGCAAAGGTTTTAGTTTAAATCTTAGATTTAGAATGTTAAGATGCTATGTGATGTCAGTTTTGTTTTATGAGTAGAAACGTGGACCTTAGATAAAAATATTTTAAACAGACTTGAAGCGTTTGAAATGTGGTTATATAGAAGAATTTTTAAAATATCTTGGACAGATAGAATAACAAATGATGAAGTTTTGGAAAGAATGGGGAAAGAAAAAGAAGTTTTAAATACAGTGGTACCTCAGGTTACGAACGCCCCAGCATACGAAATTTTCAGGATACGACATGAAATTCAAACATATTTTTGTTCCACGATACGAACAAAAACTCACCATACGACGTTACATTAGTTCGCATTTTTCATTTGTTTTTCTTACTACAGTTATTTTTTTAAATGTATTACTTGGCTTTAATTTGAGTATGTTTTTCGCGTTGGAACGAATTATTTGGTTTTACATGTAATCGTATGGGAAAAGATGATCCACCTTACGACATTTTCATGATACGATCTCAGTTTCGGAACGGATTAATTTCGTATACTGAGGTACCACTGTACAGTTAAAAGAAGAAAGGCAGGGTATTTTGGCCACATCATTCGAGGAAGTAAATATGAAATTTTGAAAAATATTGTAGAGGGAAAAATCTGTGGAAAGAAAAGCCCAGGAAAGAGAAGGAAAAGTTGGTTAGGCAATATATGTGAATGGAAAAACAAGAAAGCAGAAGAACTTGCATGTGAAGCACAATTGAGATTGTTATAATAATTCTAATCCTACATTCAGAAATGAATACAGAACCAGAAAAAGAAGAAACATTTTTTTAATAATTCTTTGTTAATTTTTATGATTAATTATAACATTATAGATATGAATACTAAAAAATTATAAATTTTATAATTAAATTGAATTATCATAATTAATTTTGATAAAATGCATGCACATTAAATTAATAAGATATTCTTAGTTAACTATTTAATGTTGTAGATTATGAGAAAAATATATAAAATTAATTTTAAAACAAATTAATAAAAGCTTTGTTTGCCACAAAATGTTAATTAAATTTCAGAATTTATTTAGATATCCATAATTATATTTTTTAATTCCTTTTAATCTTAACTACATTTATAGTAAAATATTAAAATAGATATTAACAATAGTAACAAGGCATAGTATTGACTTTGCATAATATCTGACAAACATGCAATAGTAAAACGATATAAATATAATGTTTTAACTTTTTTGTTAATCAGTTAACTTTATTAAACTTATTTATTAAATTTATTTCTGTATATATAGGATATTCACAATTATTTCACAAGTTTAGTTAACCATGATTCTTCTCTAGATTTGTGTTGTAGGGTAATTTAATTATAATCTTACTAAAATATTTTAGAAACACTTAATATCCAATATTTGTGCTGTTTCAAGCATGCTCTTACTTGAACACGTTATATAAAAATCTATAATTCCAAATATGTTTGTATTTGGAATTGTTGTAAATATTTTAATATATTTAATATACAGGATGTCCACAAAGTCTGGGTACATAAGGATTAATATATACTTTTAAAACAAAATAATTTTATTTGATTTTAATATTAATAAATAACATTTTCAATATGATTTCCATCATTTTCAATACATAATTTGATACGCCTTGCAAAATTCAGGTGAACTCAATTAAATGGTCTGTATTGCTGTCGATTTCATCACACTAACTGGTAATGGTGTCCACAAATTATGGCACATCAAATTATATATTGAAAATGTTATTTATTAATATTAAAATCAAATAAAATTATTTTGTTTTAAAAGTATATGTTAATCCTTATGTACCCAGACTTTGTGGACACCCTGTTAAGGGGAGGGGAAGGAGGAGGGAGAGGAGATAGACAGTAGAGAAAGGTAAGATCACTCTGAATGTTGTACGTAAAGCTACAATATTTCTACGTATGATGTTGGCATTCAGTTTTTAGGCTGCAAGTCCATAGTCCTCCAAAGGGTCTAAAAGAAAACCCGAGTAGCGAACACCAATAATTGAGTGCCACCACAAATAGCTAAGTGTAGAATTTAGTGCCAAGTGGCTGTTAGTAGAAAGACATAGCTACTTAATACAGTGGATGATCGGTTAATGAACATAATCCATTCCAAGACTTTATTCGTTAACAGATTATTGATTTACCATAGGTTTTTATGGGAATTTGATTAATTCATTCTGGAGACCCCAAAAAATAAAAAATATATGCTTTCTTACTATGCTTATTTATATGCAATAATAAAAATACATATATACACAATCTTGCAATTTTATTAGTCATGTTTTTTCCATTTGTGGGGGGTTAAAGAATCTGTCTAATATCGATTGCTTTTCTCTTTTCAGGATTTTTCGGAAGTAATTAATAGCATTGTAATTGTAGAGATCCCAAAGCCTATTAATCTCAACCTGGTTTGGATGCCATTCTAAGACCATTGTTCTGACATCCTTCCACTTCTTCAAAAGATGTTTAATAGCAGATATTGGCATTAATCCTCTTTTTCAGAAGAAAACATATCTCGCCAAGTTTCTTGGTGTTCTTCGTTCAAGAGTTCTTGATGTTCTTCTTTCGTCAGATCAGTTTCAGGTTCCATTATGAGCTCTTCAATGTTCTTTATTTCTCAGATGTGATTTTTTTTTGTTACTCCTTAAGCTGCCTGAGTCTTCTTTGATTATACAGTATCTTTATTAGATAAGATTGAACTGCAGCCTACTGTAGACCTATTCTAGCCATACTGCCCAGCAACATCAGACATCTACCCACTCTCTACCTTTGCTATTATACTCTCACCTTTTGAAAATAAATCAGATACAAAACTTAATGACTGCCTGTGGCACTCGTTAAGTTTTGCGACACTCACATCACCACTCATCTTGGAACCATCAGTGTAAATCCTAAACATGGGATGATCACCTAGATCTTCGAAGTAAATGGGAGGGGTGTTAATCATAAGTCGGGAGGGTATTTTTATCAATGCTGAATTTTTTGATATCATTGATTAAGGTCAAACTGGGGGTAATCTTACCTACTCTAATCATTTTGTCAACATTCGGGTCACTATAATCTTGCCAAGGTAAGGTGATGAGATTTTCTTGTTAAATAATACATTTAATTTCTAAGTCAATAGGGGTGAATCCTGACATTACCAAAAAGACACTAGTGGGTGCAGTCCTATAAGCCTTACAAATGCAGAGAGTTGCAATTCTTTGAACGGATAACAGTTTTTTATATTTAATATAGTCAATTACAACAACTAATACTTCAAATAATCAATGTTTGTCTTATTTTATCTGATAGATAATAGTTTAATAAATACATTTTATAACAATTGCATTCCTATATGTTTACATCTCATACTTGATATGTTTATATTTTCTTGTATTTGTATTTGACTTTATTCTATTTTCTTTTCCCCTATAAATTGCTATTCTACAGCATTTTTCCATTTTCAATCTTACTTTTGTCATATTCCATTTCTTGGGACAATGCATAATATATAAATGTCACAGATTATAAAATGTTGCTAAGGACAGGATTTACTTCATTGCTATTTGTTGAGACTACGCAAGTTAGTAGTAGTAGTATTTTATAATGCAAAGAAACATTTTCATGCTTATTGACTCTGTTGATAATGATTACAGTGATATTTTTGAGGATTGTAAGATGTAATATTGGTAGTGATCATGACTCTCGAATTGAAGGAATTGAATTTTTCACTCAGTACTTTTCCCTTCATTTTACTGATATTGATCAGCTAGGATAAATAAACATAGTACAATGCTTTTAAATTGATGAAATGAAGAAATTCTTGCTGACAATGTTTGCTTGTTTTGTATTAGAAAATCCATTTTCATTTGATTCTAGTAGATGACTATATCATAAATAGCTAAGCAAAATACTTTACAGAAATGATTGCTGGGATAGAAAGAAGTCAATAGATGTTTTGTTTTTCATTTTCTGACTATTAGTTCTATTCAAATTTAGTTATTAAATTATAAGACAAATATTGAAATTTATTTCCACTTTTTCTAATGGATATGATTTATCAGAAAAGTCCTTATTTTGGCAGTGCATTACAGTATTATTCATTTCTGATAGTGGATAGTTGCTATGTATTCTGTTAAAGTTTAGTTTTTAGTAAAAAATAATTTTTATTTAGTTTTTTGAATTCTTTTAATCCCATTGAAAACATCACTTAACTATCTTGAATTTATCTATATAATATATATAATTTTTAATTTAGAAATTGTTTTTTACAAATATTATTTATCAACTTTATATAATTAATCTTAATATTGTAGTATAAACTGGCTAATTATTATGTATTTTTTGTTTTTTTTTTTTAAATCCAGAAATTAGATTTTACTAGATGGACACCTCCAGAATCTCTTAGATCTGCAAATTTTAATGTTAAAAGTGATGTGTAAGTATTTTTTTGTTTATAACTATTTAAGTAATTTTTAAATTTAAAAAACAAATTAAAAACTTACTTTTTTCAGATGGTCTTTTGGTGTTTTACTCTGGGAGATTTGTACACTAGGTGAGATTTGGATATTTTATACCATATTTATAATTTTATAAAATATATTTATGGTGATAAATTTTTAAAAGAATTTACATTATAGATTATATTTGTATGTAAATATTATCTTTGCCAACATAAAAATTTAAAACTGACATTAGAAACAAACTGCAAATAAAATATTTAATGTGTAAATTTACATAAGATATGCTTTCTTATCTGTGCACAAATATATATATCTCTGTATTTATTAATAATATGTCTTTAAAAGTTGTCAAGTAGTTACTGTTATCAGCACTTGACCAAAATAAATATAATTCCAGTATTCATTAAGGATTTAATAAAAACTGAATAAGATATTTAGTTATTTGAATTAATGAATAATTTTTAGGTGGCACTCCTTATGTGATTCTTACAAATAAGGAAATTCCAGCCAGGATTTTCCGTGGGATGAGATTGCCTCAGCCTAAAGGAGTATCAGATGAATTGTAAGTGCTAATTAATTAATTTAATAGTATTAACTGTTGAAAAATATTAGTATATGATATCTTAAATAACTTTTAATGTAATTATTGTAATATTATTTAAATATACTGAAATAAAATACAGGTAGCCCTCGGTTTACGCCACAGTTCCATTCCTACAAAAGCCGGCGCAAATTGAATCGGCGTAAAACGAACCCGTATTTACAATGAGGTGTAGGGTTAGGTTCTACATAAATGAAAAATAAGCTAATAATTTTGTTTATTAATACAATATAATACAAAATACATATAAATTTTTAATTTTTAAAATATATTTTATCATAAAATAAAGAAATGCTTTTATTTAAAAATTTTAGTTTCGAATTTCTTACATTTTTCGGAAAAAGTATCCATCTTTAATTGTTTACATTTTTGATTTCTTTCATTAAGAATTTTGGAATATGATCGAATATGATGCTCCTTTTTACATTTGCACTTCGTTCCCAACATTGTATAATTCACAAACTTCATCCGTCAAACTTTCCTTAGTTGAAAGGATATGCTAACCCGACATAGAGCTACAGACAAGCGAAGACACTGATTGGTCAACCACCGGTCGCCGTAGTGCATATATAAGGTCAGTTCGAGCGGGAAAATTCAAGGTGGCTAAGGAGAGATAAATATCGTCTGGCCATCGAGAAGTAGATTTATCTCATTAATGATAATTTGTGATCACCGGAAGTGCTATTGCATCGTAAGGTGTTTTCCTGAATGAACTGATACGGGATACATTCATTGGCACTATGGATTTGGATGCCATTTATTGGACTATTAAGTTTAATATCTTGACTCGTGGATACCTAAACGTTTAGTATTTTAATATTAATTTAATGCAAATGTATACATACCCAATAATATTAAACAGAAAAAAATAAATATATTTAATAAAAATCTTTGTTTTAATGAATGTACAATGTTGCGGCTCGGTAAATACATCAACACTGAAATGAAAATCAGTCTAGCATAGGGGAAATCGGGAAATTACACCTCGAAACGGCGAATTGTGCAGCGGTGTTATTGTGAATCGGCGTAAACAGAGGGCTACCTGTATATATTAAAATAAAAATAACCATTTAAATTAAGTAAAATTATATGATTGTTATTATTACCATTTTATCTCTTTTACATAAATTAAAAATTTAATAAAATTCTATTTTAAATAAGCATTATCTTTAAAGAATTGATTTGTTTTGTGTGTGGTTTGCTTTAATATAATTTTTAATGTCTTTCTGTATGTGAATCTTTTTAATTAGTTCAATATAGAAATTATAATATTGCTATATTACAGATATCAACTAATGCTTCATTGTTGGGAATTTGATCTTGATGAACGTCCAACATTCCATGAACTTGCTACTGTAACACAGAACATGTTGCTTTCAGCTAAAGTATGAAGATTAATTTGTATTAATTAACAATGTTTTTTTTTACTTTCTTTAATATTTAATATTTTTTATTTACAGGATTATCTAAGATTAGATAGTATGTGAGTATAGATTATATTTGTATGTAAATATTATCTTTGCCAACATAAAAATTTAAAACTGACATTAGAAACAAACTGCAAATAAAATATTTAATGTGTAAATTTACATAAGATATGCTTTCTTATCTGTGCACAAATATATATATCTCTGTATTTATTAATAATATGTCTTTAAAAGTTGTCAAGTAGTTACTGTTATCAGCACTTGACCAAAATAAATATAATTCCAGTATTCATTAAGGATTTAATAAAAACTGAATAAGATATTTAGTTATTTGAATTAATGAATAATTTTTAGGTGGCACTCCTTATGTGATTCTTACAAATAAGGAAATTCCAGCCAGGATTTTCCGTGGGATGAGATTGCCTCAGCCTAAAGGAGTATCAGATGAATTGTAAGTGCTAATTAATTAATTTAATAGTATTAACTGTTGAAAAATATTAGTATATGATATCTTAAATAACTTTTAATGTAATTATTGTAATATTATTTAAATATACTGAAATAAAATACAGGTAGCCCTCGGTTTACGCCACAGTTCCATTCCTACAAAAGCCGGCGCAAATTGAATCGGCGTAAAACGAACCCGTATTTACAATGAGGTGTAGGGTTAGGTTCTACATAAATGAAAAATAAGCTAATAATTTTGTTTATTAATACAATATAATACAAAATACATATAAATTTTTAATTTTTAAAATATATTTTATCATAAAATAAAGAAATGCTTTTATTTAAAAATTTTAGTTTCGAATTTCTTACATTTTTCGGAAAAAGTATCCATCTTTAATTGTTTACATTTTTGATTTCTTTCATTAAAAATTTCGGAATATGGTCGAATATGATGCTCCTTTTTACATTTGCACTTCGCTCCCAACATTGTCTAACTCACAAACTTCATCCGTCAAACTTTCCTTAGTTGAAAGGATACGTTAACCCGACGTAGAGCTACAGACGAGCGAAGACACTGATTGGTCGACCACCGGTCGCCGTAGCGCATATATAAGGTCAGTTTGAGCGGGAAAATTCAAGGTGGCTAAGGAGAGATAAATATCGTCTGGCCAACGAGAAGTAGATTTGTCTCACTAACGATAATTTGTGATCGCCGGAAGTGCTATTGCGTCGTAAGGTGTTTTCCTGAATGAACTGATACGGGATACATTCATTGGCGCTATGGATTCGGATGCCATTTATTGGACTATTAAGTTTAATATCTTGACTCGTGGATACCTAAACGTTTAGTATTTTAATATTAATTTAATGCAAATGTATACATACCCAATAATATTAAACAGAAAAAAATAAATATATTTAATAAAAATCTTTGTTTTAATGAATGTACAATGTTGTGGCTCGGTAAATACATCAACACTGAAATGAAAATCAGTCTAGCATAGGGGAAATCGGGAAATTACACCTCGAAACGGCGAATTGTGCAGCGGTGTTATTGTGAATCGGCGTAAACAGAGGGCTACCTGTATATATTAAAATAAAAATAACCATTTAAATTAAGTAAAATTATATGATTGTTATTATTACCATTTTATCTCTTTTACATAAATTAAAAATTTAATAAAATTCTATTTTAAATAAGCATTATCTTTAAAGAATTGATTTGTTTTGTGTGTGGTTTGCTTTAATATAATTTTTAATGTCTTTCTGTATGTGAATCTTTTTAATTAGTTCAATATAGAAATTATAATATTGCTATATTACAGATATCAACTAATGCTTCATTGTTGGGAATTTGATCTTGATGAACGTCCAACATTCCATGAACTTGCTACTGTAACACAGAACATGTTGCTTTCAGCTAAAGTATGAAGATTAATTTGTATTAATTAACAATGTTTTTTTTTACTTTCTTTAATATTTAATATTTTTTATTTTACAGGATTATCTAAGATTAGATAGCTATCCTGGTTTTCAATATGAGAAGTTTGATCCATCAGCAGATGAAATGTGATCATTGTTCTTAGCATTAATTTTATTCATACAAATTTCATATGTTATTTTACTGCCTCAAAGTTGTTGAGAAATAATCATAAATTTTATACATTTATTCAAGAAACACAAAACATTAAGGGAAAAGAATTTTTGCTCATATACAAAATTAAGTAATAGTTATTTTTTGAATATCTTTTGCAAAAAGTTTTAAATATTTTTATTATCAGATAACTTTATTTTTAATATTACAAACTAAAGCAAACTTTCTTTTTATATAAATATTTATAAAAAATTTTATAAAATAAATTTCAGTCTGCTTTCTAGTTAACAACAAAGGAGAGTTTACAAAAATAAAGTCGTTTCAGTAAGCAAAAGGAATTGGTAAAAATATGAGTAATTTTCTGAAATTTTCTTGTAAAATTAATTTTTCAAGACTTTCAATGAATGGTATATTTGATTGGAAAGAGTTTGAACATGTTCTATACTTGAAAATATATAAATCAGTTTTCTGTTTATATGAACAGCTTTGTTAATAAAGATTTGAGTTTATAAGTTTATAACATCAGAAGATAGGGCAATGTTTCTCCACTTTACTGAAAATGTAATATTAATTATTAGTAAAAGATTAAAATACTGAAATAGGATTAGATAAACTTATATACATATATCTATCTATTCATCATCAAAAATTCAAAAATATTAGAATTATAACTAGATGCAGCTAAAATTCCAATCAAATATACTTAAATTCTACTATACCTCATTCCATGATAGTCACAGTTTCAATTTATATGTATTTAGTTTATTTCCATATTTTCGTTTTAAAAGATAATTTTTTCTTTTAATTTATAGTATTATTACTTTACATAAATAGTCTAGAATTGGTGCCAAAACTCTTATAATCTTCATTGCTATCAACTATAATATATTAGAATATTTTAGATTTAAATATCAAAATTTTAAAGATATAACTAAAAGAATTGTATATATATGTTTGTGCATGTGTGTATATAGGTATGAATCACAATATTTGTGAACAAAAATGGCTAAATTTATATTTAAAAATAATTTGCTAAAAAAATTATGGTAATCTCCTAAATTTCAATCACTTGAAAAAATGTTTTTTATTGTCAATGTATTTTGAGCAAAGAATATTTTATTAATGAAGCTGGACAACCAAGTTTTCCTTTTTAAGTATATTTTAACTATATATAAATAACAATAATATATATATATAATATATATGTATTGTGTTATTTTTTACAAAAGGAAAATTTTTAATGCAATAATTTTCTATTCAATCAAGAAAAAAAAAAATGTGTTAGAATAGCAAATTTAAAAATCAAATTTGTGATACACAAACATTAGTCACATTTATTATTATTTAATTTTTTTTTTTTTTTAGTTAATTGTGAATATAAATTATTTAGTTTATATAAAGAAGAAATCTTTTATTATAAGAGATTGCATATTTGCATTTAAAATGCTAGTTTGGTAATGGTTTTTTTTAATATAATTTTTTAAAATCGTGTATACAAAGTGTTTATACATATTTTTAGATTTATATATTATGTATTTGTATATGTACAGTTTTTTTTTTTTTTAAATTGCATATCAAATCTGAGTGAATTTTAAGTTGGACAGTGTCCTAAATAATAAGATTTTTGCGCTCCTATCTTTCTAAATTTATATTATTAAATGTTTAGAAGGTAAAAGTAATAATCCGAAATAAATCTTGATTCAAATTCTTTAGTCCAACACAAAAATTCATTTAGTTTAGAATCTCCAAACATTATTATTTTATTTAATCTCAGGATTAAATCAAAATTTTTATATTTTTTTTTTAATCAATAATATATGAAATAGTATTATAAATAAATAAAAAATTATGCAGCTATAAATAAACCTTTTTAATTTATATACCTCATATATTTTTAGATGTACTGCACATTTTGTTATAAAGTATTTTATAAAATTTTGTAATTTCAAATAATAATTATAATCAAGAAATGTAATTTTTTTTTTAAGTTTTAGTTTACTTTTTTTTACATTTAATTGTATAATTTCTACATTAAATTTAAAAAAATAATAATAATAATAAAAGTTGAAAAAGTAACAATGATAAATTAATTAGTGATTTTTTTTACGGTTAGAAAGGTTTTCAATAGATGGCGTAAGAGTACGGTCGTTCACCTTTTGCTGGGTATACAATTTTCAGGTGTCAAGGAAGTGAAGCAAATTAGGACATTCAAGGACTAGGACATGTATCAAAGCCAATTGTCTAGTAATGAATACTGGCTAATGAATATTTGCTTACGGTTTGGCCAAAAGTTTTTTTATTTTTTATTATATATATATATATTATTTTTAATCGAAAGGACAACCATATAAAGAGAATTATGAGGACTCGGAAATAGAATTTGAAAGAGTGGAGATAGTGGATGGCGAGGCACAAATTCACTTCCGTTTTCGGTCGGGTCAACGAACTCGCCACAAATTTTCTTTTTTGATTCAAGACAGAACTTATATATACGTATATATATTATTATTATTTTTTTTTTTTTTGAGTGATACGTGTCACTGTAAAAATTAAATTTCTCCACACATTTGTATGTAAAAGATGCGGTTGTATGTTTTAAAAATATTATATTAAGAGTGAAAACTCATAAACTTAGAAGCAAAAAAATTAAAAATAAAAAAGCAATTTTTTAAAATAATTTACCATAAAAATATTTAGAAAGAAACAATAGACATTTTCGAATAATTTAAATCAAAGTTTAGAAAAAAAAAAAAAGCGTGCAAATTTATCTAATTTGTAAAGATAAAATTTCTAGAATTGCCCTCATTTGTAGAGCCAAAATTTTAAAATAACAGCTCGAAATATAACTTTTTTTTTTATGTGGAAAGGAAATTTTAAAATAGAAAATGACTGATCGAAATATAACTCGTTTTGTAAGAGCGGAATTTAGAAGCGAGAGAGAGAGAAAGATATTGAAATATTTGTTAAAATGTACGAAAGACATCTTTTCTTACGTGTGTCTTACGTAATTTAACACGTCACATACAAAGATGTGACTATTAGTTTTTTTTTTATTCCTTATTTTTTGAAGTGTACAGTCAGTGGAATGGATACAAGCGTAGGCTTTAAAATCTCTCACAAAAATAAATTAATGTTTAACGAGATTCTTTTCGAGTTGACAAAATGCAGAAGTGTAAAAGTTATGTTCTTCTTTCTTACGTAACTTTTACGTCACAAGTTTTTTCTTGTTTCGGTGTGTAATTTCGAATTGTAGTGAGAGTTAAAAATATATTTATGCATATTTTACTTTTAAATATGAAAAGAAAAACAAATGTTAAAATTATCTAAATTAATTCTGAAAGCAAGAAACTTAATTTTTTTTTTTTTTTAATTATCAGATAGAATAATTGCCGGCGAATAAAGGCCTTTTTTTTCCTTTTTAAATAAATAAAATAAATTTTTCTAATTTAATTTTAACTTAATTAGTCATACTTGGTTTATAATTATATAAAATTATCTGTTAATATTCACGCCGAATTTATTTATTTAATTTTTTTTTAACTCGCTAATCGATCCTTCTTTGACAGGTTTCTATTCGAGTTCTTTAAGATTATAATTTATATATATATATTTTCCTCTTATAATTTGCTATAATTTAAATAGGGAATTGTTTTATATAATACTTTAAATTTAAAATTAAAAAAAAAAAAAATGGAGTATGTAAATTGACTTAAGTTGCTCTACTTCTTTTTGATAATGAAGACATTGTCTATAGGAAGGAAAAAAAGATTTTGTAAAATGTTTTATTGCGGAAAACGATAATTTATAAATTAAATTACATTTCGTGTTCTGAAATAGAATTTAAAATTTAAAAGAAGAAGAAGAAATTTAAAGTATCTTATCCATGTTTGACAGGATTGCCAAGATAAAGCAGACTCCCTGTGATGTATGGACTGCCAGATAAGAGTGTTCAAAACTTAACAATAAACTATTTATCATTGTCACGTACAGTACTATGTTAAATGTCTCCTGTATTTACAAATATATGAGATTTTGAAATATATATAACAGTACAAGAAAATCAGTTTTGCAACATCTTTTCTCTCCCTTTCTCTCTTCCCCCTTTATTTCTTGTAGCCAATGTCGTTATGGAAGCGGAGATGCGTTATATTGAAAGATATATATATGTGAAGAAAGACACCAAAGAAGATTGGACCATCAGAGAAAATGTGAATAAACGAGACTGCATCAGGAAAAAACTGACGAATAAGTACACATTGCAGAGAGAACTGGAAAAAAGAATTTATATATGTATATAAAGTTATAAATGAAAATAGAGTTATGCAAAAAATTAATGACGAGAAACAAGAAAAATGGATAAAAATGTAAGAGAAAACGAAAATCGTATATCTGAAGAAACGACATGAAAAAAAGGGGGAGAAAACATTTTAAAAAATAATCAATATGAGAGGAAAGAAATGGCCAAAAACGTTAAGAACATTTCCGAAAAAAAAAGGAAAGTGAATAAAAACGAAAACATGCAAAAAATGTGCAAGAAAAAATTCCAAAAGTATACGAAAAATAAACATTATGGAAAAGGGTAGAAAACGAGAAGAAAAAATAAAAAATTGACAAGGGAAATGAGAAAAATTGACAAGCGAAAACAAAATAAACACACGTACACAAAAAAAAAATAAAATAATAAAAGAAACATAAGCAAAAAAATACGGACAAGTGAAAGAAAAGAGTGACAAATACATTCTGGAATGTAGGAAATTGACAAGATAGAAAAAAATTCTTTTCCCTACTAAAACTTTAAAGTAGGAAAGAAAAAAAAAGGAAACGGTAATAAGAGAACTGCGAAAAGAATAAGGGAAATCGTGAAAAATACTTCGATAAGAACACAGATTTTAAAGGAAGTCGTGTCGATAAGAGAATTGCTAAAGAAAAGTGAACACGCGCCTTAAACACTACTAAAGATTTATTTTATTTCTACAATATTTCCTACCTCTTAAAGACAATTTATTGTATTCCATTAGATATTATTTAATCGGTTTGTTATAACAATTATTATTATTATTTTTTAATTTATTTATTTCGATTTTGGATCAAAGCCATTACTTCCGTGAATTTAATTTATAGGGAGAAAACGTTTACTGCTTTATAAACATAACACGTGTTTGTTTTGGGATGGAGTCGACTTTATAAATTTCTATTCGCTAAAATAAATGATGTGTTTATTATCTTTTAAAATGTTTAAGTTTATTCAAGGTTTTAACAATAATTTATTCGCATAACATTATCCTCCCTTTTTTCCCACCTTTTTAAGAGAAATACTTTATGAAGATTATTTTGTATTTCTTTATCCGATTTAAATAAATAAAAAAAAAATGTGTTTTTAAAATTATTTTCGGAATGTTTTTGTTTGTTTACTCTAAATACTTTTTTGATTTAAAAAATAATTTACAAAAAAAGAAATTGTGTTGATTAATTTTTTCGACAGATGGCGCTATTGGGTACAATTTAATAAATAATTTCTAATTAATTTTTACTTTTTATTTTTTATGGTATTAAAAATAAATATTATAAAGAAAGATTTTATTTTTGTTAATTTTAAAGTGGTTTAATTACCGTAAAAAACGATTACAGAACGAAAATATGTTATTTCTATATACATTCCATAATGATAACTTTATAGGGAATTTTCAGGCAATTTAGTAAAACGTCGGAATATTTTTCTTTTTTTAAAAAAAAAATATCCCTAAATAAATTTGATTTAATTAAACGGAATTTCACATCAGTTTAAGTGTTAAGAAAATTAATGATTGAGAGAAATAGGGCAACGTTTTAAATGTATTACAAATATAACAATGAATTTAAGAGAGAGTTAATCAGATAAAACTCGTTATAACTTTTGAAACGAATACATTCAAATTTTAAATTACGAAAAAAAAAAAATGCCGAAAAATGATTTCAATTATTCACCCACCGAAATCTTTCATTACGCAACCAACGTCTTACGTAAGTTTTCTATCATAAACCAGGAAAAGGATCACGTTATATTATATAATTATTGCATTAAAAATAGTTCCTGCCCATAATTAAAATATCTCCAATAAAAATCTTAAAAGTTTATTACCTCCGAAGAGGTAATTAAACTTTATATATATATATATATATTGTTAATA